AATCTGCGTGGACGTATTCTTGGTGGGAGATTTGATCTTCAATGAAGTAGCTGGTTCCTCACTTGGGAGTATGATTCTGATTATTACGTGGCAATTGAATGTCAAATATGCATGATACAAAAACAATTAGATTGCGCCGAGGCATCCCTCGGGGTAAGGATTAAGTAACGGCGAAAAGCTGATGAGTGGCAGAATTGGAGAATTGAAATAGGACTTGAAGGTAGAAATTAATGAGCACGAGGCGCATTGATGTGTGAAATATATCCCAAGCAAGGAGGGGACTTCTTGGTGAAGACACTGTCAAAAAAGGAGCTATTGTAATTTAATCAGTCCTTTCATGGTCTGACGAGTTTGAGGGTTTAGTGAAAAATAGAGGGCAAGTGGCCATCTTGAGATACAGATGAAGTAAATGACTTGCGCATAAACCAAAGAAATTCATGTCGGGGAGATGAAGTGGAAATGGAGAGAACATCATATGGCAGGATGTTCAACCCAGACTGGACGAATTGATTCTCAAGGGATGCCAACTGGTTCAGAAATGTGTTTAATCTGAGCCTTTCTTTACTTACAACATTCGATTTGGCTAATGTGAAAGATTGACAGTCATTGAAAATATCATAGGCCGTGAAAACTTATGAACTTTCAAGCTTATCCATGGCATTAGTGGCACAATGCCAGGACTGCCATTCCCCTTCAGGTAGTTTGCCCCTCAAGGGCAATCTCCCACCTTCCAAATTTCCCATACCTAAAGTTCGATAAACCCCTTCCTTGATCCCGATTATTCCCCATCTCACGACAAATTCCTCTGCGCGGCTCACAGAGAATTGAAGCGACAGCAACTCCTGCAATTCTGCAGATTCAATAGGACGCTTTTTTGCAAGTTCAAAAAGACGTGCAACTGTTCGAGGATAAATTGCAGCAAGCCCATCAATCACACCGGCCGCCCCAAATTGTACAATAGGGCCAAGCTGTTGGCCGAACCCACTGAATACGCGAAAGTTTTCGTGATTGATATCCGGCGTCAAGGAGACTTGCAGATGATGTGAAACATTTCCATGGGACATCTTGCACCCAACGATATTGGGATGAGCAGCGAGCTTCGTGTAAGTCTCGAGACGTATTGTGATGTTGTTTGTAACTCCAGGATAATGATAGCTGCAGAGGTAGTAAATTAGTTTTGTACGATATAAGAGCGAGATAAATATTACATTAAAATTGGAATAGGACTAGCATCTGCCACGATCTTGTACCATTCTTGAATGTTCTCTTGATTCGCAGCAGGACCGAAATATCCAGGTGCAAGCACAAGACCCCATTGTGCTCCAGCTTCTTTTGCATCTGTTAACCATTCCAATGCTTCATTTAAAGAGTTCGTTAGCACGCCTGCCATGATTGGGTATTTTGAGAAGCCTGCGGAGGTAAGTCCATTTCGAACACTAGCTATCAATTCGGATCGTTCAGCGCGTGAAAGATGAATGGCTTCTCCTGTGCTTCCAAGAAGTACAAGTCCACGGATCCCATTCTTCGCAAGGTGAATACTGTGTTGAACCTGAGTTGAAAAATCTACTGCTGCTTGATTTGTAGAGAGAGGTGTTGTTGATGGCTTAAAGAAAGTCGGGACGGGAACGAAAACTCCCTCGGGAGGTACTTCACGGTGATTAGTCATCATTACTTGATTGCACGTCTCAGGACCCAAAGCTTCACTTCAAGAAACTCTTCAACGAACTCTACTTGAATGTATGAGAGATACGTCTCCATTTTATCAGAGGTCCAATATCACACTGATCTGTCTGATTAATCAAATCATTCGATTATGATCAAGTGCGGAACTGCAAATGTTCTTTATCCACCAATGCCTACGGAAAAGCATACCCGGGCTACCTGCCTACGGATAAGTCGAAAAGACATCATTGATGCAGTATTGATGTATCCACAGTTACTATGATTTGCATTTAAAATCTCAAGTGTCTGCCAATGTGTCATTGAACATTACTGGCAGGTATTCGCGCAATCTCATCTCATCATGGCCTTCAATCGCTCTATCAAGTTGAACTCAGGATACAGCATTCCAGTGGTTGGTTTAGGGACGTGGCAATCAAAACCAAATGAAGTCAAGAAGGCTGTTGCACATGCACTGAAAACAGGATATCGACATATCGATGCAGCAGCTGTATACGGGAACGAAACGGAAGTCGGAGAAGGAATTAAAGCATCAGGGGTAGACAGGAAAGACATATTTGTGAGCACTGACACGTTACTTATTCACTGATTATGTGCTAATTGAAACGTATTTAGATTACGGGCAAGTTATGGAATACAGATCACAAGCCTGAAGATGTGGAAGCCGCGCTTGATTCATCTTTACGAGACCTCCAGACGGATTATCTTGACCTATTTTTGATCCACTGGCCGGTTGCTTTTCCACAGTCCAAGGAAAGATTCCCGGTTGACCCCAAAACAGAGGAAATCATCGTAATCGATGTTCCAATCAAAGACACGTGGGCAGCCTTGGAAGACCTTGTTAAAAAGGGAAAAATCAGAAGTATTGGAGTTAGCAACTTCACCCGAGAGAAGGTCGAAACTCTTTTAAATACTGCCAAAATTCCGCCGGCAGTCAATCAGATTGAGGCACACCCTTATTTGCAACAACCGGAGTTGTTGAATTGGCACAAGTCCCAGAATATCGCAGTGGCCGCCTACAGTCCTCTTGGGAACAATATATACAGCTTGCCAAGAGGCGTAGATGACCCCACCGTGATTTCCCTCGCGAAAAGCTTGGGAAAGCAGCCAGCGCAACTACTTATCAGCTGGGCTGTCCAGAGAGGCACTATTGTTCTTCCAAAGTCCGTAACACCAGAGCGTATAAATGATAATTTCCATGGTTAGTGGTACCTCCATACTCAATATCCTCAAGTTTGCGAAGCTAATTCCATTGCTAGACTTTGAACTCCCAGATGATGCGTTCCAGAAGATATGTTCTTTGGACCGAAACCATCGATATAATTTCCCAGCACGGCTCGGAGTGGATATATTTGGTGAGGTCAGCCCAGAAAGTTTGAGAAAGAGTGTCGAAGATTGGAAAGAATCTCAAAGGAAGTTGCGCGCCGCATGAACACTATGCTAGTTATCGTTGAATAGTAGAATAAAACGTCTTGATTTGCCAATTTCTTGCAATAAAACTCCCCGCCCATGACCGAATTTCAAATTTGTGGATGCAATGCTTACCCGGGATCATCAGATCTACTTCATCTTTACCCCACCCCTATTTCCGGCTTTCGGGTCTTCGGAATCAGACACATATAGGTCTGTCTTGTACGCTCACAATTACACATTAATCACAGATTTCACCATGCCGGAGATAGCATCTATCGAATACTTTCGTGTACCACCTCGATGGCTCTTTGTAAAAATCACAGACAAAAGTGGCAATATAGGTTGGGGCGAAGCCTCTCTTGAGGGCCATACCCAAGCTGTTGAAGGTTGTTTAGACGCTTATATCGCGAGATACACGGGCATGGAAGCTGAGTACGTGGACTTAAGATATCGCATTGATACATCTAATAACTAGTTGTAGTGATATTGAACATATTTGGCAAATGTCTTGGAGATGTGGATTCTATCGTGGAGGTCCGGTTCTCATGAGCGCATTGTCCGGAATCGACATTGCTTTATGGGATTTGAAAGGTATGCTTCATCAATCAATCTGAGGACTCGAACTGATTCCTTCTCCAGCTAGAAGATTAAATGTACCCATCTATCAGTTACTTGGTGGAAAAGTCAGGGACAAAATTAAAGTATACGCATGGATTGGTGGAGATAGACCTTCTGATATTGCTAGCCAAGCGTATGTTTTTCCCAAACCCCTACTGACAATGGCTAACAAGAGTAGTCGAGCTAGAAAAGACCAAGGGTTTACAGCAGTCAAAATGAATGGTACAGAGGATCTCGGATGGTTTGACTCGCCATCTGCCCTAGATAGCTGCATAGAGCGAGTGAAAGCTGTCAAAGAGCTTGGAATGGATGTTGGAGTTGACTTTCATGGAAGAGTTCATAAGCCAATGGCCAAGCAGCTGGCAAAGGCTCTGGAACCACATCGACCCATGTTCTTGGAAGAGCCACTACTTTCAGAACACATTGGTGGTATCAAAGATCTTTCGCAACTAACAAGCACCCCAATTGCCCTGGGTGAACGTCTTCATAGTCGATGGGATATTCGTCCTTTCCTTGAAGCTGGTGCTATAGATATTGTACAGCCAGACATTAGTCATTGTGGTGGGATCAGTGAGATGAAACGTATCGCCACTATGGCCGAGACTTATGACGTTGCTCTCGCGCCGCACTGCCCTTTAGGGCCTATCGCTCTCGCAGCCAATATTCAGATCGCGGCAGCTTGCTCAAATCATGTCATTCAAGAAATGAGCTTAGGTATTCATTACAATGTTGGCGGGCAAGATCTTACGAGTTATACAACCAATCCGGAGGTCTGGAAGGTAACCGGCGGTTATATTGATTTGATGAAGGGTCCCGGACTTGGCATAAATATTGATGAGGAGCAAGTACGTAGACTCTCTCAAGGAGCGGAGCCTTGGGTGAGCCCGGGGTTCATTGGCCCAGGCGGTGAGATTAGAGAATGGTAAAATAGCTCAAAAGATGAATTTCCAATTCCTTCACCCAATTTAGTTTAATTTTCTGCCGAGATCGAATAAATGGTCATTTCCGTATGTGAGCTCGAGAAAGGTAAGAGCAGAATACATCGTTCTCATCCGAGCCGATTGTTCTGGACATCTGCTAGCAACTAAATTCGAAATTGCCGCTTGGGCCCAAACACAAAAGTGGGGGCCCCCTGTCGTTTGCTTTAGCCGGAAGGCTTAACTTCCCCGCACCACCAGCTTTCGTATATCCGGAACAAGGACAATTCTATGAACCATTATCCTGCAGACCCCTTCGGAAGTATACTTCTATGTTTCGGATCTGAGAAAGTTTGCACGACGCAATTCAAAATGGCGGAAGCTCGACAACCACACACTTCGTTGAATTCTCCGCCATCAGCTGAAATCGCTCATCCAAGGGACGAGAGCACCGAGACTCAACCGGCGCCCGCAGCAAAACGACGAAAAAGGGATGAGACTGAGAGAATACGTGTTAGTAGAGCTTGCGATCGTTGTAAAAGGTAAGATAGTGAACCCCCACATGTTGCGGAATAGACATCTTACAAATGTATTTCAAAGAAAGAAGACAAGATGCAGCGGAAATCAACCTTGCAATATCTGCACAACTGCTGGTTTGATCTGTGAGTTCACAGCAGCCTATAGGCGTGGGAGAATACCTCCAATAACGACAGAGAAAGGACATCTCGAACATCTCGAAAGTATTTCTGAAAATGCCCCAAGTTCTACCAGTGTTGAACAAGAACACGTGATTGAAGCCACCAAACCTTTCCCAAATCATCACAATGCGTTTCATAGCCAATTGAGCGGAGATTTTCCCAGTATCCCACATGATGTAGCTATAGCTGCATCAACACTGGCCCGGCTCCAGCCTGCTATTGTTGAGAACTCGAACCCAATTTCGAGAATGCAATCATCCCGGAACTCACCAGAGCCTCCGCAAACTGACCTCCAGGGACACTACGTGGGCCCTTCTTCTGGGGCCTCTTTTCTTTTAAGAGTGCAGAAAAAGTTACACCGAGAGATCACACTCTCCCAGGATTCATCCATATTCACATTTGGGGATGCTCCCCTACCAGAATTTGACCCTTCTTTCTTCGTACTTCCCCCAAAATCCGACGCCGAGAATCTTGTTGCAAGATACTTTGATTTCGCAGTGCCGACCCATCGCTTTCTACATCGCCCAACTATTGAGCTCTGGGTACATGAATTCTACGATAATCTAGGAACTTTTCAACGGAAAAGCGGTGCCAAAGGACGAACGGCTCTTTTATTTATGGTTTTTGCTCAAGCAAGAGATTACATGCCTGGCGTTGGCAAACAGAATGATTTTGATACGAGGTAAATACTACGAGACAATGATTTAGAATTAAATTCTTTCACGAGAGACTTCCGCCTCTTTAATTGGCCAAAACACTCTCGATCGCACTCAAATATTGAATGTTTCTGGTCATTGAATTATGGTGGAGCATAGGTAGCTTTTATATCTAGCCTGGTACTCCGAGAACTTGTATAATTTGAAATTGAACCAATTATCATCATGTTATTTTTCTCAAGCTAACAATACTGTAGTTCCCGATACTTCCACGCCGCTGATCGTCAACTGACATCTGAAACTGGAGGAGTCCTTTTAACTAGTGTGCAAGCTCGGCTGTGTCAATGCTTCTATCTCTTATCACAGTCGAGGGTCAACCATTGTTGGAGCTTATTCGGAACCACGGCTCATTTGATCCTCGCTCTCGGCATCCATCGCAAGAGACGTTTAGAGTCTCAAAATAATGTGGATATGATTGAACTAGAGTGCAGAAAGCGAGTTTTTTGGTGTGCATACACACTGGACAATTATCTAAGTGCAGCTCTCGGAAGACCTCGAACCTTTCACGATGATGATATAGATCAAGTGAGCCACCCTTCTATCAGGCTAACGATTGCGATTGCCCCATAATTTTCTAAGACATCATTTAGGAACTTCCGAGTTGTGTTGATGACTCTGATCTTACTTCAAGACATGTTCACGTCAATAAGTCTAGAGCCCAGTCTATCATGATGGCACCTATCGCTCATGGAATGTGAGCGTAAGAATCTCGATTATGTGTTTGCAAGCTCACTCCTCTGCAGGCTGTCCCAGATAATCAGCCATATTCTTCGCGATCTTTATTCCATTCGTCCACCATCTTCCACTATTCGTCTTTCTCTAGCAGACCAGTATTGCAAAAACCTTCAAGAGTGGCGTACGAAGTTTACTGGGTTTCTAGATGCTAATGGTGTAGATACATCTCTATTGATACCTCTATTCCAACGTCAAAGAAATGTTTTGAATCTCTCATATTGGCATGCACTGATCTTAGTCCATCGACCCTTCCTACTGCGAGACTTTGCCAGTCTTCATAAAAGGAACTTGTACCATTCTAGAGAAACTTTAATTGGCAATTCGATGGACAAGAATGTCTTCAATTGTTTACAGGCTGCAATGGAAATCACTAACATCGTTAATCATTTGACGGAGGCCGGACAACTGTACCAGGCATTCTGGGTAAGTACCATCCCTGATAACTCTATAGCAATACCCTGACTCGACTAGTTCACTCATTATTTCGCATTCTGTGCGGTAGTTGTGCTATACGTATACACAATACAACACCGTTGTCATCCTCGAGAGGAATATATCAAATATTTTGAAGCTGCTGTTCGATGTCATTCTCAGATCTCGTCTAAAGCCAAAAATGAATCCTTGGCACAAAGATATAGTGTAGTGCTGGAAGAACTTAGACTCGAAGCTATTACATACCCTCAAGGACAAGTTAACCACGGATCTCCTGTTACCCAGACCGAGAGCGGTTCCCATTCAAATCGTGAAAGTCTCGTCACTGCACCGAACGCGGCCCACGAATATGGGAATGGTGGAATTGCAGTAGCACGTTCAATTGATGGAGCTGATGGCGATTATGTAGAGTCAAGTCCTTCTGTGACTATGGATCCCCTCACTGGCTGGGGCCAATTTGATTCTTTGGTACGTTCTTATGTAAAGTCTCCATGGAAACTATGCTTACTTCGTAGGTTACTGGCGGAGTGGGTGGCTTCGACTTTATTTCTACAGGAGATAAAAATGATCAATGGGACACGGGAATGGGTAATCATTCCGGATATTAATTCATCGTCATGCTTCTTATTCGCTTCCTTCCCCACTTCAAGATTAATCCGTGATTCGTTATTTCCTAGTTCCGGATCTCGGATATGCACCTGGGGCACGGATACTTGTGTAGGCTATGCAGTGCAGCTCAATACACTTCCATGGAAAAATATTCCTCCAGTCATATATAGCGCTTTGATACATCCGGGCAGAAAGCCTCATCAAAGAGAGGACACACACGTCTGCATGCCATTCTTCTTGTCTCTTTACAATTCAGAACCATGTCGGCCATAGTCGAGACTAGAGCATTCACAGCACCACATGAGAGGTTGGAAAATTCGTCTCAACCCGGAAAGACTATACCTAGTCGACTTCTATACACTGTCGACGATCTGATTTACAATCGAAGTCAGACTATTCCAGATGTCCCTCTATTAGCATATCCCGGTAGCCTGAAGGGAAGATCGGACTATGTTCATTACACGGCGAGGGATCTTGATCGATTTGCTGACCATGGTGCAAATATATACTCATCAATTGGTCTCCTTCCTAGTGTTAGTATACAACTCAACTGTTGGGAATTTATTCTAACAGTGAGACAGTCATCAAAAAGTCCTGTTGCAGAAGTCGTTGCGCTCCTGGCACCATCAAATCTTGATTACGTCGCTACCATATTTGCCTTGACACGCCTGGGTTTCGCAGTCCTGTTGCTTTCTAATCGATTGGCACCAGAAGCATACATTTCTCTCTTGGAGAAGACGAAATGTAAGCGAATTGTCAGTTCAGATAATCACCATGACGTTCTCAAATTGATTCAAATTGAGCTGGAAATATCTCAATATCCCTTGTTGAGACAATCTCAATATGATACCAAAGCTCCATTAACCCCACGATTTCCTCGATCTGTGGGAACTGTCTCAGATTCAGCACGTAATTCATTCATAATCCATTCATCGGGCTCAACAGGGGTTCCAAAACCAATCTTTCAAACACATGCGGCTTGTCTCTCCAACTACGCCAATAGTTTCGGTTACCGGGCATTTTTGACATTGCCTTTATATCATAACCACGGATTATCGTCATTCTTTAGAGCGATCTACTCGGCAAAGGAGATTTCTATGTTCAATGCTAACCTGCCATTGACGGGAAAGAATTTGATTGAAGGAATGGCTGCAGTAAAACCCGAAAGTTTTCATGGTGTGCCTTACGCTTTGAAGCTACTCGCCGAGTCTGAAAGTGGAATTGAAGCTCTGAGAAGATGCAAATTAGTCTTGTTTGGGGGAAGCAGCTGCCCTGACGATCTTGGAGACCGCTTGACACAAGCTGGAGTTTACCTAGTTGGTCATTACGGCGCGTGAGTTTTAGTAATTTCTTCAGTAACAATAAATTCTGACCGAGCATACAGCACCGAGATAGGTCAGCTCATGACTTCTTTTCGTCCACGAGAAGATACAGCATGGAACTATGTTAGACCTTTGCCATCGTGTGTACCATACATTCAAATGGTGCAACAATCAGAGAACACATTTGAATGTGTGGTATTAGATGGGTTACCGTCAAAAGTCACCTCAAATTCTCAAAATCCTCCAAATTCGTTCAAAACGAGTGATTTGTTCACCCCTCATCCTTCAATTCCAAATGCATGGAAATATCTTGGACGTTTAGACGATCGTGTTACACTCGTCAATGGCGAGAAAGTCCTCCCGATCACATACGAGCATCAGATTAGAGAGCACGAATTGGTAAGAGAAGCGTGCGTGTTTGGCGTTGGCCGAGCATTTCCTGGTTTGATCATCGTTCCAAGCGAGAAAGCGACCAGCATAGGTGAAAAAGCATTGCTACAAAAGCTCTGGCCAGTTGTAGTTGCTGCGAACTCAAGAGTGGAGAAATTCAGTCAGATCTCGAAGGAAATGGTCCATATTCTAAACGTTGGTGTCGATTATCCCTGCACAGATAAAGGAACCATGATTCGCCCTGCTTTCTACAAAAAGTTCGAAAATCTCATAGATTCTATGTATCAGAGCTTTGAGACACCACTAGATTCTTTGAAAGGTACTCTCCAGTTGAATAGAGAGCAATTAGAAGACTTCCTACTTGGTGTCTTCACAGAACGAGTTGGGATCCAGCACCTCGAAAGAGATACTGATTTCTTCGAGGCAGGCGTTGATAGTTTGCAAGCGATTTCAGTCCGAGGTATCATTTTGCGCGAGTTGGATCTGGTTTCTGGAGTACCGAGTCAGAATGTGGTTTTTGAGTTTCCGAGTGTGCAAGACTTAGCTGAACACTTAGATTCTCTTCGAAAAGGCGAGGTATCAGAGCAGAAGGACGAGATCAAAATTATGGAGGAATTGATTCAAAAATACTCCCATTTTGAAGGACATGTCCCAGGTTCCAGCATCGTGAACGGGGAAACCATTGTAAGTCATAAGTTCAAGGCTTTGTTGTTGCCTGCTAACCCTTTGCCCGAAGATTTTGACTGGTGCTACCGGCTCACTTGGGGCACATATTCTCTCTCAGCTCGTAGGGAAAAACTTCGTCAAGGCAATATATTGTCTTGTCCGAGCTAGGGATCGACAACAAGCAGAGGAAAGAGTCAGAAATACTCTTTCAACCAAGAAATTATCGCCAAAATCATTTTCAAAGATTCATTGTCTTCCATCAGATCTCAGCAACAAAAATCTTGGCCTCGACACCACCTTGTTCCAAACCTTGCGAGATAATCTTACAACTGTGATCCATTGTTCCTGGGCTGTAAACTTTAATCTGGGTGTCCAAAGCTTCGAGTCGCATCACATCAAAGGAACTGTGAACCTCTTGAATTTGTGCCTCACTGTCCGCACGCCATTTCCCGCGAGATTATTCTTCTGTTCTTCCATATCAGCGGCAGCGGGTACTCCTTTGCCCGCGATGATTGAGGAAACATACATTACGAATCTGAATTATGCTCAAAATATGGGATACGCTCGGTCAAAGTTAGTCACTGAAACGGTGATTAGAGAAGCTGCGAGACAGACTGGAATGCAGGCAAAGGTTTTGAGAGTTGGTCAGATTGTTGGAGATACAATAGAAGGGCTGTGGAATGGTACAGAAGCCATCTCACTGATGATAAGAAGTGCCACAACGCTTCATGCTTTACCAGCCCTGAATGAGGTGAGAATCACCATAGTGCACACTTCCCATGCCAGTACTAACTATACATAGACACCCTCCTGGTTACCTGTTGATATAGTCGCAAAAGCTGTTCTGGAGGTTGCTGGCCTCGAGAACTATTCACCAGAGGGGCCCATGCAAAACGCGGACTTCGAAGACATTGTCTACCATGTACAAAACTCACACACTTTCTCCTGGACCCATGACCTTCTTCCTGCTTTGCATGCAGCAGGATTAGAGTTTGACATTGTCAATCAAAGAGAATGGATTAAACTACTAAGGGAGAGTGAACAAGATCCGAATAAGAACCCAACGATCAAACTTTTAGATTTCTTCACTGAAAAATATGATAATGACAAACCTGGTCGACAGGGACTTGTCTTCAAAGCGGAGAAAACAGGTTCCAAGTCCGTGTCTATTCAGAATGGTTACGACATTGTGGGGAGTGGGCTGGTCAAGAGATTTATCGATAGTTGGAGAAAGGAGTGGTGATCACTCAAATGTACATTGTTGTATCCATCATTTTTAGGTTATTCTATTTAGTACAATATTCTCAATATATTTGATTGTAAGCAACTCGTATTGATCGTTATCATTCGTGCTCTATGTAACGTTGTTATCTCTTAAAACACCTTTTGTGCTGTTCTCGTGTGGTGACCCTACCATTGAAATGGAAGGAGCTTATAAACTCAGATTACAGTATAGGGCCAAACGAAATCTGGTAAGTGTCAGGGTAGGACTGCGTTGTTCACGTCACATTGCCAGCCATTCCAAAGCCTGTCTAAGTTCCGGAAATATCACCAACAGTAGTTGTTTCAAATCCCCGCATTATGCTGTTAACATTTCCGGCCGCGCACTCGCTAAGTTAATACACTTTCATCATCCTCAAATTCATCCGTCTGGATGGACCCAAGACAGCAGCCCAGGGTATCCAATGTTGCGGACTGCAGTCCAACAATATATGGGTTTGAATGTCTAAAAGCAGTTACAAAGCCGAAGATAGTTCAATGTTCCGATCAAATTCAATATCCCAGGTGATTTGAATATTCTAATTGGTTTGGGGATAAACTTCATTGTTGGACGGCAGTCCGGACTATTGGACACCCTATAGCAGCCGGTCGGATATGTATAATGTGATTCATGTTTGCAAAGCTGCATACCCGTATGCAGATCTTTAGCAGTACCACCTACCTTTCGAATCTTTTTGCTATCAAATATTTACGAGTATGAGTGATTGCAAGGTTGCAATGCCCTTTTTCCGTGAGCCGTGGGGTAACGCGGGGGAAGTGAGGGGCCCCGCATACCGCATATTGAGCTGTATGTCCCCATGTATCATTTCTTTATAGCTGCCATAGCTTTCATCGATATTATGAGTTCTCAAGCTATCTTTTACTTGGATCTTACCTCGGTATATCCAGTAAGAGTTACTTTCCAAACTCCAATATAATTCTAAGAGCTTTTGCCAATTTCTGGATCAACAATATCATTTCCTATCAATCGCGAATATAGCAAGACTTACATCATATGAGCTATGGCACCCCTTGGCGCTTCCCCTACTGATACCGACACCGGCACTAAGATCAACTCTAATGAGGTCGAGTTCGTAGAATATGTCTCCTCAACGCCCGCGAAATCTGGTCGTGCTCCAGCCTACGTACGCAACCTTACACCAGAAGATCGTAAGAGAATTGAAACTTCACTGAGGCGAAAAGTCGACACGAGATTACTTCCTATGATTGTTCTCATTTATGTCATGAACTACCTAGACCGTAACAATATTGCTGCTGCAAAATTGGCTGGACTAGAAACAGATTTGAATCTGACAGGAGATCAGTTTCAAACTTCTGTTAGTATTTTGTTTGTGGGATATTTGCTAATGCAAGGTAATTTCTCGCGTCCAGAAGCGAGATCATGGAGTATTGCTGACAAGGACTTGATTAGTGCCATCTAATCTCCTTCTTAACAAGCTTGGCAAACCTTCCCTATATCTTCCTGGGTGTATGGTAGTTTGGGGGGTTATCTCGGGGGCTACAGCTGGGTGTCAAACTTATGGTGGTCTACTCGCCTGTCGATTCATTCTTGGTTTTGTTGAGGCGGCTTACTTTGTAAGTTATATATTTAACTTCACCTAAAATTGTCATCTGCTAATCATATTCTAGCCCGGTTGCCTGTATTACCTTTCTGCTTGGTACACACGTAAAGAACTTGTTAAAAGAACGGCTCTTTTATACTCAGGATCTTTACTTTCGGGTGCATTCTCTGGGTTGATCACTGCAGGTATAACAAATGGGTTGAATGGCGCCAGAGGTCTTAGTGCTTGGAGATGGCTTTTTATAGTTGAGGGCTCGATTACAGTTCGTTCTCATAACCTGACTCCCCAGTTTTTCGAAGTTTAAATTCACTAATAAATTCAGGTTTTCATAGCACTGTTTGCGTTTTTCATCCTACCCGATCTTCCACGTACAACAAGTTGGCTATCCGAAGATGAGAAAGAACTCGCAGCCTGGAGACTAGAAGAAGATATCGGACAAGACGACTGGGTTGATAGTAAGCAACAAACATTTTTACACGGCGCCAAACTCGCTGCGAAAGATCCGAAAGCATGGCTTCTTCTCGCCACTATTTATGGATTTACATCCGCGGGCACTGTCACCACTCTATTCCCATCGGTTGTCAAAGGGCTTGGCAGGAGCAATATTGAAACACTTCTCTTGACAACACCCCCATACTTAATTGCTGTCGTTGCCATTCTTTGTAATGCATGGCATGCAGATGCAAGTGGCGAAAGATATCTACACATTGCTGGACCCCCGGTCTTGGCTTTTATCAGTTTTGCTATTGCAGCTGGCACGACGAAGTTTGCACCGAGATACTTGGCCATGTGCCTCATGGTAGGAGCGAACTATTCAGGATATGTTGTTGCACTTAGTTGGATTTCAAATGGTATGTTGAATAGTGGCTACATGTTAATTACAAAGACTAATGTAATGGAACATAGTACTTCCTCGACCTCCATCTAAACGTGCAGCTGCTCTCGCCGGTATTAATGCGTTGAGTAATGTGGCTCAAATTTATTCACCATACCTTTATCCTAGTAAGCTCTCATTGCCCCTGGTGCTTCAAATGAATTGGCAAATTATCGATCTAACCTCTCCATAGGCAGCGATGCACCTCGTTATGCGAAAGCAATGTATGTCAACCTTTCAATGTCAGTGGTATCGATTATATTTGCAACAATACTCCGATTCCATTTGATTGGGTTGAATAAGAAGTTAGATAGAGGGGAAGTTGTTGAGGGAGTTAATAGTAAAGCCGGTCCAGGAAGTAATGTTGAAGAGGGCGAAGGAGAAGAAGTTGCTGTTGATACAGGATTTAGATTTCTATACTAGATATCTTATAGGATACCATTGAAGAAATAGATTTTTGAGGAATTTGATGTTAATAGCCAATAATCTCAATGAGCCAGCGCCCAATTACAAACTTGACAACAAGTTGACAGAGTTATCGTCGCTTCTCAAGCTACAATACCTTCAGCAAACTTCGGCAAAGCTCCACAATAGCCCATTGCAATTCACCCAATCCTTTCTAGATTCTCAAGTTGATAATTAAATATCTAAAAAATCGAACCGATTCTACCAAACATGCCAAACATGAGAACCCCGGTGACGCGTAAATTAATCCCAATACTCCATGATAAAAACAAAGATTTCAAACTGACAAAATCACATAGAATGGTTAGCGTGTCGATCTTATATTCTTCTGAGAAATCAGACTATTATGACCGTCGAAAGTTGTGGGTTCAAGTCCCACCCGAGGTATTAAATTTTTGCTGTTGTAAATATTTGTGCCTTCTATCCTCTTTCAAATTTGATGATTTAGGAAGGTGAGGTAGTGTTGGTGGTGGGAAGCAGGTCAACGTATGGATATCGTGGGAAGTAATGACTCGCAAACATGAAATCCGCACCCCAACCCAGTTATTTTGTAAGTCATATCAAAGGAGAGTCGATAAATCGCTGCGTCTATCTCGAATCATTGCATGTTCTTATTATCCTATAAGGATTGGTGTTCTCGAATGTTCTCATGCGGTGTGGTAGAGAGCCCTGGAGAGAGCTCTCATCTCATTTGACGGGATCATAAAAATTCAAAGAATGCTCTGACTCGTTGTGACGGGAAAACTTATAATATTTTGACTTGCAATAATCTAAATTTGTGAAAATATCTAGCAACGTTGTCGATTCCTAGGATGCCATCCCATTATGACCCATTCACTCTGAAACACTTACAAGCACGACTGTCGATGACATAACTCTATCTTGAACATTTCTTAATGACGAGTTATTGAACAATTGGTAACTTCAGTGATCTAATAGTTACTTGAGTTCTGAAAAAATCAAAAATAAACTCGTTCATGTCAGACCAAACCGCCCGACCTCGAATTGACGGAAATTGATGAACTGGAAATCAATCACAACAAACAGACTCACTGCCATCAGAGTCATATGTCATCCTTAAGAAAAGTTAGTTAAAATCTTCAGTCAAGGCAATTCTCCTCGAACTTACCTTTTTCTCGTGAATATACTTTTCATTTTTTGCCATAATCCTCGAACTCCTTTTCCCTGAGCACATAAACCACTAGAATAACTAGGTGGATAATGCAACCGAAAACAGTCTGGAGCAGGTTCAAGTACTCTATCCACGATAACATGTACCGGCGCATTCGGTGTTGGTGCCATAAATCTTGGCTTGGGAGGACCAGAAATTGGCCACATTGACATGGAAATCTCCCATCCAGGTTGGACATGATCTTGCCAGAGTTGAGGGAGGATGACTTCCCCAGCCGGATTCATAATATCATAATGACCTTCGCTAACATGTGAGCCGATGATTTCGACATGAAGAAATGCTGCTTTGATGAGTTCTGAAATTCCCTGAGAATGTTAATTACTTAGACAGAAAAACAGGAGGAGTATAATTTTACTTACTTCCCAGGTCTCACATCGGTGATAAGGGAAGCTAAAGCGTCTCCCGACTGCATCCTTAAGCTTAATTGGCTTCCTGGTGTTCACCTTCTCACTTAGAAAACTGGAATTTGACTCCGCCTGGCGTGATAGAACATTTTCAAGCCTTGTAATAAGTCGTTCTTCCTGGGACGACTCTAGCTGCTGGATAACATTCTCAAGCTTTATAAACAAACCATTAGGGTAGCTTTTGTCACTTTCTGCTGTACTGGAGTCTACCATAAATCTTGAAATGGCAGGTGCTGTTATCGTTAGACTTGATGCATCGACTTGCTGAATTGTCGCAGCTGAATCTACTACACTTTCTTGAGAAACTGAGATAGTTGACTGATTCACCGAAGCCGTTGGCGGTATCTCATTACTCGTTGCAGGTACATCACCATGATTAATGTAGGCAGGTGGGGATGACGATGATTGGTTTGATTTTGACATTGTGAAGCGTGCAGAAAGAATACTTGATGTATATAGAACTTTTATGTTGCTATACAAGAACGAATGAATTAGGTGAGTTTTCAGAATGCTCTTTGATGTGCTCTTATACTTGTTTGACTTGAAAGGGAAACAATCGAGAGAATGTCGTGATAATTAGAAATTGCAATGGGGCATTTGGGGCATATTACTCGGCGGCCAACAAATTTTGCCGAACTGCTTGGGGCTTTCTTTTTCAAGCAACGCATGTAAGATTGACAAGGCTGTAGGTAAGCAGCTCGAAATGGTTTGAATTTGCCCACTTCGACCGATAACTGCATTTGTGTGACGAGAAAAGGAAAAAAGTGACTGCAGATTTGCTGATTACAGAGTTGCCCAGCTTGTTAAATACGGATCGTAAAAGTTGCACCTTTTGATTCAGGGCATCCTTTTCCGGGGACCGAATGACCACAGCACCTCCCAAGGTACAATCATGTAAGAACGACGCCTCGATCATTAGGAAACAATCAAAAGCCGCATGCATAAATTCGTTGCTCACATATGTGTTATTGTCCTTTCGCGAGATCCTGGGCTATAACCGAGTAAATTGTGAACAAGTATGGCGGCAGAAAAGGGCATTGCGGAGCCAGTGTAAAAAATGGAAAAGATACCACTCTAGATACGCTCAGTTTCTGTACCTCCTCATGCTGCCAGACTGCCTTCAACTGTGGGATGATACGATGATCGATCACAACTTTATACGCAATACTTAGGTGATAATATTGCCGGTGATGTGAATTTATGGTCATTGATCCTTGTTACAGGAAATGGCTCTCGAGAACCCGAGTCTACCACGAAGAAAGGAATGTCAATGCAATTACAGCCAAACCAGTTTTCTTCCTCTCCAGGATTTCAAAATTCCTCGCACTAAATTGGTCAAGTACCATCAGTAAGCGATAGCGAGGTGTCTGCAAGTCACAATGGAGAAATAGTAGTCCGATAGGAAATATGATAGAAACAACGAAATCAGAATTGAAAGGGAAAGTAGTCTATTGGAGAACTGGGAAACAAACAAATAAAGCCATAGCACTAAGAGAATGGATGCAACCGAGCGTCATAGCAACTCTGAGCGTGTGTCGAGGGCCTCATAAGTTCATATGAACAGGAAATTTGATATACTAGGTGGTCGTAAAGGTAAGGTCTCCACCGCTCCTGTAGTATCAGCACTCAAATTTACAAAGTTTCCGAAATATTGTATTCAAGCCACAAAGCCTATCACTCCAAGGTATGATAATGGCTCGTGAAGATGTTGAAAGGCAGAACCGCAATGCAGGTACAGAGAAAACTACCTGGCGCGGCGGATTAATCTGTTTAAACCAGTGTCATCAACGCCAGGAATTGGGATCCAAAAGCGAGATAGCCGCAATGCCCCAAATTTTGAGCCGCACGAAAGATGCCAGGACTTTCAAATCGCCCCAGGCTTATACAGTGTTCCATGATGAACATACTGATCTCGTCAGATGATTGCGAGACTTCTCGAACCACCATAATTGCCCGGGTACCGGCCTTGCAAGGTGATTTCATAAGCGACATTGATTTCCGTCCTGGAATAGAAGCATAATAACGCTGCGCAAGACACCTCTTCAACATCCAAATTGGTTCAAACAATTGAAGGGCATGGAATAGTAGAAAGCCTTTTGCACGCCGAGTGCTAGCATTGTTAAAGCCTTACTCAGGATGCGTCAGCGGTCAGCAGTGTGCCAACATCTGGATAGGTTTGTAAATAGATAGTACAACTGCGGAAATAGGACAAGGCTTGTAAGAAGAAAGCCGAGAACTAAAATTGACACCGAACAGCAAAGCAAGATGATAGTTGATATACAAAATTGGTGCCCTCCACTAGAAATGCCTAACTCCTGTCGCTCTCTCGATTGTGTTCCGCCAATCTTCATCAGTATTGCAATGCCTATAAATATGGTAACTCGCTCCTTCACTGCCCTTCAGACGATGATCAAGGCTCTTGGTCATACTGCCGCATAACCTCCTCTACTTCTATCACCTTGTACTGTACTCAAAACTCTTCTGGACCAGTCCTTCAATAAGTATGGAACGTCACGAATCGTATCTCCGTGAGGAAGAAGGTCCCATCCGCGAGCGCCATATCTATTGTAGTTGAGCCAAGAACCGAAGATTAAGTATGCGGCCGTTGAAAGGAATGCACTATCAAAAAGTTATTAGCCGCTTACACCACTTTTGTACCTGAGAAGTAAAAAAAAAGGACCAGGGGACGGAAAAACATACACAATAATGAACCAAGTAAAAAACCCCCAATGTGAACTTTTCTTGTCATCACCATCATCCTTCGGGCCATCCTCACAAGCATACTTTGTGCGCCAAGTCAATCTTAGGATATCTGCGTCGCCTTTATCCTTATCCAACCTAACAAATTGGAGACTCGAGTCGTTACCTAGTGCTCCAATAACTCCATCATCATTCCCTTCTTCCTCCCTCTCGTCGAGCTTCTCATCCTTCTGCTTCTTCTTTGGCTCTGGTGGCACCCACAGATTTTCCAACCCAGTTCTGTTCGCATCGCAAATGAATTCCACGATAGCTTTTTGTGGTCTCTTGTTCTTCCCTTGTACGATGAAGCCGCCGTTTAGCTCTACACGTAATCCTTCCTTGTCGGCGTCTGAATGAGATTTAGAGTTGCTAAGTCGTTCCACTTTAGCGTCGAGAGGACCTCCGCCGTAATTTTGTAATTCGCCTGCAAATGGAACTATTTGTTGTGTTGCGTCTGATCCTTCCTCTTCGTTGATAACATGTGTTATGCCACAAACTGTTCCATCAAAGATGTTAGTGAACCAAGACCCTCTGAGTAACACACGATGAATTGGCTCGTGGCTAAAGTTTAACAAGACCTCGAATAGGGAAAGACATTACCTCTTGTCCCACCTGGACACTCATAGAACCCCTTCCTGACTATAGGGTTGCAAAGGTCGATTGTGTATGTTGTATTTGTCCATCCTTTTGCTTCACCGACATAATCTTCAACACTGTGTAATGCCGACCGTGGTCCACCTAATGCTTCCAAATTGAACGGCTTTTTGTCGATAACTATGTTCGTACAATCTAAGTTTCCGAGCGCGGAAGAAAGGAGTGGAAAGAGAAGGGTTGATAGAAATGCGGTTTCGGTTGGGAGGTTGTGAAGACGCATGATGGTTTGTCAGAATACCGTGGAATACACCGGAGTCCAGAGAGACGGACAATGGTTTCAAGTATTTTGGTTTATCAAGCACGCCCGCAATGTATGTCGAATGAAAAGATACTGAATCTCTATATTGAGACGTATCGAAGGCGAAATGCCAACAAGTAAGACAGCAGGTATTCGTGGTGAGATTACTTTGCTTGCGAAGTTTGCGATGCAATTGTTGAAGCTCATAGAGAATTTACCCAGACACGCCGGAGACTAAGAGTTGGAAGATGACGGTGATTACCTAAGCTGTTGCTTTATCAATCAAATCACATGATGTTTGCGGCAAGATTCGGTTTCGAGGTCGCTTTCAACTCAACTTGTGATCTTTGGATTCTGTAATTTCAATGATATTCATGTTTCATGTACTTACCTAGTATCCCTTTCCACAGTCTTGATCTTCAGATTCTATGATCATTTTGAGATCAGATAGAACTTATTAACACTACTTCTTCATATTGCCTACCAATTTCTCAAAATATTGACTGAAGAGATGTTTCGTTCACAATTATTCTGCCTCCGCGACAGCAGTTTTCGGAAAGCCAGCGAAGCGTCAAATATTGATGAAGCGGTACCGTAGGTTTAGAATCAAAGTCCATCTGTCTGCTCCGGTAAGATTAGTCCGGCAAGTATGCTAGGCCTACCAGATTTCGGAACTTTTGCAAGCTATCGTAGGTCAATCAATGTTCCCATATAAGGTTGCTATCTTGTGGTCAACAGTGTCATCTTCGGTCCCAGCGCCGAGAACTTCAAAAGGGATTCTTTTCACTATCAAGCTACCGATGTTACTGGGAAGAGTAACGATTTCAATATAAATGCTTTTACCTTGCGGCCCATACCCACGGCGCAAGATAGAAGTATTTTTCTTGTGACAGAAGATTTCTGGACATGGTGTCCTTGAAAGATATTTTCAACGCAGACTGAAGCATTGAGAGAAAGTAGCGTCCTATGCCAACGATAATACGTCCTTCATCAAGGTATCATCAGCCCTTCAATCAGAGAAGTTTTTGGTTGACAGACTCGAGCATGTCAATATCGGATCAAGATTCCAATGGTCAAATATATCAATGCTGGCGGTCTTCCATTCGACCAAGTCACATACTCAGTACGCCACGAACCAAGCCAGCCACGTTTCTGCATATAAACCAGTAGGAATGCTCCTTGGTGAGTATTTGAAACGCCAGCACAACTTCTCAACATTACTCACATTTGCTCGATGTGGTAAGAGAACTTCTTGCTGGAGACAACATACCTTAGTATGTAAAGGCATGTGGTAAATCACTTATCTATCAAGAGGGGTTTTGCATGCATATAGGAGCACGATAACGTTCACAATATTACTTAGCCACCTTGCACTGCTATCTTGTTAGTTGGTCGGTGACCTGAATTGTTCTAAGCCGACAAGAAGCGAATTTATGAATTGAAGATCACGGTGGTCCAGATCTCTACCTCGAATCAGAGAAGAACAGGATGATTGGAAAAGCATACTTTTGCGTATTTGACTTTCAGCGTGGAGCGAGTTGCGGCTTCGGTCAAATTATGGATCACATCTTTTCGGGTCCAATCCCGTGGAGAACCGCCCCAAAGATACCGCCCAAAGGCAGAGTGGAGGCAAATAACAATTGCTGGTATTCTAGGTTGGACCTACCGAGTGTGATGCGACTAGTGTCAGCCCTTTTTCTCCACTATGTTTTAGGCTTGATGGAGCGTGGCTGATATTGTGAATCGTTCTCCTTGCTCCACTGCATAACTGCATCGTTGGTGAAATTGCGTGTTTTAAGATGAATCTTGGTAGGGATGATAGCTTCTGTGGAGTAGATGGTTGGTAGTGACCCGTGAAGGTGGTATTTATGTATCCTTTGTCCCTACAGTTCCATTCCTTTCGTTTTTTTCTTTTGTATCTTTCAATTTCATAATTCCATCTGCATACTTCATTGTCGGCAGAGTAACTCACTCATTCGGAGCGCGCTGCGCTGTCTTGCTTAGCCCGGTCTACTCTGTCCGTCTCGTCATAGACAAATCAACCACCTCTCTCGCAACCAACCATATCCATTAAGAAACATACGCAGCTATGGTTGTTCATACTTTTACCCCGCATATCGCGAAGTTTGCCAGGTTCTCTCTTGGAAGGTTCACAAACCGTTGGGCTAATGAGGAAGAATTGAAGTTAGTACTGTACACCCCAATGTTCCTCTGATTCCTCATACTTGAATATGAATTGGGCTAGAGTTAGAAAGAAGAACAAGAGAAAATCGTGAATGGCAAAGAGAAAATTAAACTGACCAGGCATTCTTTACAGTAAACCTGCGATTTTGAAAGAGAACAAGATACCCAAGAATGTACCAGCCCAGTGGAACGTTCTTAGATGGCAATATCAGAGCGAGCTGTTGATGGAGATTAAGAATCAAGATATGGAAAAGACAAGACAACAGCAAGCACAAGACGACGTGGCGTTGGGGATGGCGGACGCAACCACCAAGATGAAGGGTTTAATGGGCGACAATCACCTCTGGATGTGTGCGATTTGAAGTGCTAGAATTCGTCTGGGGGAGAGTCGACTAGAGTGTTAACGACACATACTACACAGATAAAAGGGTATATTTCACACTTGACGATCGAAATGCATTATATGGCGTTTTATTGCGGATTGGAGGCTTTGCATGATACCAATGGCTCGCGGAAATCTCGAGCACTCGTCGGATAGCATCGGGAGTGGAAAGGAAAAGAGGCATAAACACATAGGCTGCTGGCAGCTTACTTAATTTTCATAGATCATTTTTCAACAACGATATAGTATACAAATTGTCCTGAACAGAGAGAGTCATGAACTGCGTTTTATCAAAAGTCCTCCTGCTCCGGCCACCAATTGCTGCGATGATAACTGTTAACTCCAAATTCAACACCAGGGGAGTGACAATGCTGTATAAATGCCCTTTGTATCACCTTGACGCAACCATAAATATTTCAGATTCGACTCGACCTCTTCGCAAATGAGAGAACTGAGATTCTCATGATTCGTCTAACGATCCGTGGCTCCCGATCCAAAGACACTCCTTTCTCTTGAGATTGAAGGCCTTATTTCTATTTCCCGTGGCATCGTAGCCCGCAGGTTTTGTAATTTATCTGCATCTCCGTTCATGTGTGTGAATTGGTCCACATGATACGTCTTGGGTTTGTTATATCGATCATCCACGGCTTTCATATCTTGATAGCATCTGTGTAATTCATTCGATTGACCTCGAAGCTCTTTGGCGTGAGCTCGACGTTCTCTGAGTCTGAGAGTTGAATTAGTATGATATTTTCACTTGTGGAATAATTGATGGGGTGGAAAAGCCGTTGTAAATGAGCTATGATGAAAGAATGTACCGAACTTACTTTTTAAGGCCAGCTACAATAGTAGGCATTACCAATTGATTATCAGTTCAATATTCCGAGATTGGAGAGAATAACTCTTGGTACGGTGTGAAGTCCTCACAATAGTGTGGGGTTTTGTGGATATGAAATGAGGGGAAATTATTAATGTGAGGAGGAGAAAATTACTAACTTATCTGCTTTGGAAAACAACACGAATGAGTACTTCCCTTGGGTATAAATATCTATTTGAGTAATACATTTCCCAATTCAAGTCAATGTCATTTTGAAAGATTCCAGGTCCCCGGTTTCGCGGCAGTCGAAACTTTAACTTGCCATATTTCTACATCTTCATCCAATGATCATTTGGCAAAGTGAATAAATTGTCGGGGTTTGTTCGGATACTATGATCACTGCCTCTTTGGTCTATCAAACTTAATTAGATCGATGTGAGTAACGTCGAGGCAGTGAAGGATAGTTTGAATGTTACGATCTGGAACCCGGTGCACGGAGGCAACGAATGATTTGGACAAAATAGCTGGCTCCGGCACTTGAATGGAGATAATGTATCTCCGGGTGCACATAGGTTATTTAAGATTCTCAAGCTGTGCAATGAGCTTGGGAGATATAATAGCATACTAAGTGGCTCTACTGTAACACTAGTTCGTGCTCTCTGGAGTAGGACATAATGTCTAGTATGAGATGGGATGAGAGGACTAGGTGTGGGTATTTGACATCTGAAGTAACAAAAGAGGGGGGCATATCTCAAAAGCATGAGGATTGACTAGACACTTGATGCTGGTATTCAACACTGTGAACCTAATCCCAACGTATAAATGCGTTCCTGAACTCGGTTATGTTGGAATCATCGGTTCGGTTCGGTTGAGGAGCGGTGTATAAAAAAGCTAACAAGCCTTGGGAGGTACGAATGCTTGTACTTCTCTTGATAATGAAGCTTATTGCGATTCAAAAGATTTGTTCTTGGTGATCGGACGGAACATGTGTAAAGTGCGAATGTTTGTTAGGCTAAGGAAGTAGGTTGGCTCGGTTGGGTAGTCTCAATTTCGTGGAGGCAGTGAAAGGCTTTTTTAAAAGCTCGCGTGTTGGGCTATTGGAGTTCTGAAATCTTGTTTTCTGGCGGGATCGAAAAGCTGCTCATGAGGCAACTAATGTTCAGAATTTTAAGACAACGCGCTTCTCAGATTCCATTTCGAGTTCTGGGTTTGATCAGGATGACTCCTTTGAAGACCGCCATCAGAAGACAAGAAAAGTCAAAAAAACATATCTAACGTTATGTGGAGTATGCTCATGACAAATAACGGACAAGGACAGCTAGTAAATCTTGCAGTCGTCACGGCGGTGAATGTGAATACCTAGTAGACATGGATATCTGTGGCAATAATTACAAGATGCTCGGAAGGATGGAGGCTCGAGGGGAGGAGAGAATTGAAAACAAGCACGTGATACATTCAAATTGCCCGAATAATTATTCGAGTACATGTACCTACAGTACTTCGTACAGTACTCGTCTCGTGTGGCTGGACAGGAATGGAGGCGGTGTCCATAAATGGTAAGCGGTGTAAAATAAATCTTGCAAAATACGCATACATTTGTTCATTTGTTTGCTAACTTGAATCATTGGCTTCCTCGACATTGATGACAACCTTGCTAATTTGCTAACAATGCCTCCATCACATACTCCTACCGTCAACTATCAAGAGCATTTTGGAATTGATAACAATAATTCTAGGAGAAGACGTACGACCAACCCATTCGATCAAAATACTGTCACTCCCATTCAGGGTATGTTATCATTAGGTGGCGATGCCCAAGATGATTTCGATTCAACCACAGGCACAGAAGATTTAAGTGAAGGAGAAGACGAAGGAGAAGACGAATCTGAAGGTGATCCTGTCATGGAAGATTTGGAAAACATGGACGAGGATATAGGCTTGGACGATGTCGCAGTTGAAGGTTTGTTTTAACAATGTTATTTCTCCCGCTGCCGCCTTCTTTCCGCACACATCACCAACACGTTGAGAGGAAAGAGTAACCGCGATCGCAACCAAACTCGTAGCTAGAATCAGAACCAGAACCTCTTAATCTTGAAGATGCCTGCTCTTCTTTCGCACTCTCTCAACTCAAACTGGTCAACTTGCACCAGTACATCTTGCAGCATAGCAATTCGATTGTATTTTGATCCCCGTTCCAAATATCAATGCACAATTTCACCACCCATTATGTAAAATCGATCTAACGTATTGCCTCATCTAGCTACCATGGACAATACACCGTTGTTCGACCCTGCCGCTCTCGGGCTGAAAGAGATTGGAAATTTGGCTAGCTGGACTGTTTCTAGTAGTAAACCTGGTTGTGGAGTTCTTGCACTCCGGGACGATGACACAAATTTGTTCTGGCAGTGAGTAACTATATACATTCTCGTCTCTACTTCTCATCTCTCCTCGGTACGAGACTTGCACATTCACTGACATGACCCACCTGCAGATCCGATGGACCCCAGCCTCATTACCTTAACATCCATTTTGCCAAATTCGCAAAGATTCGAGCCATTCGGATATTCCTTGATTTCGAAGCCGATGAATCTTATACTCCAACACGTATTCAGTTGCTTGGAGGCACAGGCTACCACGACTTGATTTCGTTTTCTGAACTTTCGTTTGTTCAACCGAAAGGTTGGATTGATGTCAACCTTGATCACGTAGGAGGAGGTTCAGATGGAAAAACACTACGCGCATTCATTATACAAGTCAAGGTTTTGGAAAACCACCAAAATGGCAAGGATACACATGTTCGTGGACTGAAGATATATTCTTATGACGAACGTCATGAATCTCCTCCGCCATCATATCTTGATGAAGAAGAAGATGAGACATGCTCTTCGATCGATCCGAACGAATTTGGAGGGCCTGACGATGATTTGAAGCGTGGAGATGTAGGTAATGATGATCAATTCTGGAAGGATTTTACGCAGGCAAAAATGGGAGGGCACAAGATGCCAAACCTAAGTGCTTTGAGCGAGCCTGGGTTCATGTCCGAGCTAGAACTACGTTGATTACACTACGATCACTAGGTTAATACTACATTACGATTGGTGGTGGTCACATTGGGAGTTATTAGGAGTCAATAAGATACCCTGGGTTTGTATAATAATACTGGATACGTAGCTCCATGATAAGAAGAGTATATCTCCCTTCCTTAGATTCTCGGTCCTGCCCTTTGTTAAGATGAAGACTCATCGAAAGGTCAAGCGTTTTCAAGTAGCAAGTGCCCTCTGCAAAACCGCACCAGATCTTTTCAAAGGCGATCTCGTATCTCCTTTCGGATGTACCCATCATTGTCAAATTTCAAAAGCAATATTTCGTCTTCTTACATTTGATTTGATGGAGAATGGCTGTGAAGTAGACTATATCGGTTAAAATTCTACTGTTCTGGCTTGCTCGTGCTTTCATTCGACTGCAATTTCGTCCCGCCTGTACCACACATATCAATAGGAGCACTGTTGAAACTGCATTCCATTGGATCTGAGCAAACATTGTCAAACCGCCAGATCTGCATCAATAGTCCAACCAAAAGAAACGTCAAGGAAGAAAATTTATCACCGTCTTCTGACCATATTCAATATTCTCTCGGGGTCTGTCTCGGGGAATGATATTTTTCGACAGTTGCCGTCATCTGTTAGGAGTAATCGGAGCGGCAAGTCCCCCAAGGATGTAGAGCTTCCAAGCCACGGCAGCCATCCACATTGTGACTGCACCTTGGCATGAAAGTTTCCTAGAACCAGCTTTGTTTTCTATGACAACAACAAATCCATGAAGATCCTTTGATTAGTTTCTACATCTATATTTGAGATTATTGGCACTAGTTGTGCGATGGAATTGATCGATACGGAAGAACATCTGCATAAGGGCGTACATCCTGCAATTTGGATCGGTTACTAGCTTTGTGCTATCTGCTTTCACGGCGGAAAGCTATCTTTGGTTTGGTGTGACTTACTAAAAGTCATATCACGTTAGTTGTTGGAGATTTAAAAATCAAGCGTGGGACCAATTTCCTCTTTGAGAACGCGATAGGGAGACGGCAAAGGCTGTCCAGTAATGTTGAGTGGAGGCGCATGGCCATCAAAGAGATTAGCGAATGACAGAAGATTGACGATCGATCAACCACAGCCCAGTAGTAGAATACACTTAGAACCTAGTGATGATCTTATCTGAAATTCCATCGTACTGTTGACTTTAGCCAGATGTTTAAGCAATGTGTTCTATGATCTAAAGTGTAGTTTTACCATGGCTAACATTTGCCGCAAGCATTGTTTTCCAAGTCATGTATCCCAGTCTGACGTAAGATTCCATGTCCAAACTTCTTACAATACTACCACCTGCTTCGAAATGTCAATTTAAATCATTCCAGTAGCCAGATTCTTTTGAAGACTGGACAATCCAGAATGTTTGATTGTTCGATTTCCAAGAAACCATTGAAAACCCCTGATCTTGATAGAGACTTGAGAAAACTTTATCCCAGAGAGGAACGCTTCCACGTGAAAGAGATTTGGCAGGTTCATGGTGAGAAAATGGCATTTTGGTCAAAGGAATCTTCACAAAGTAACATTTTGATCAGAAACTGAGACCCAAGCATCGCAGCCACCAAAGGTTGACTGCGCCAAATACTGATTGTAAGCTTCATACAACAGCTGTATACCTGCGTAGTCACTATTCCATTGGTATCAAATACAAGAGCCTTGCATTTCGTTTCTTGAACCGCGGATGAAAGGGACGGATACTTTCTCTGTTACTTGGGGAAAAGTGCAACAAAACTAAAGGCTATAGGAACTGAGTTATATGTTCCGTAGATATAACTTCCCATACTCAGAAAGCTTGTCAAGGAATAGTGTATTGAAAGGATGCTATTAGTATATATAAATGACATTTGGGACCTTACTCCTCGCTTCTCTGCTTGTATTCATATCGTCTCATGTTAGTTGCCTCAAAATGCCTACTTCCACCTACTTTGCTAAATATCCCTCCTTTCCCTCTGATATCCCAGTGCCAAACATGCCCATTTTCTCCTTCGCTAAACTTGCAGTCAATGATGGACACGAGTCCTATGCTCTTTTTGAAGCCAGTCGTCACATAGGCTTGTAAGTAACAGCAAATACTCCCTTCCAAACCTCCAAATATTCTTCGACCTGTCCCCCCACAAAATCTTTGCAATGGAATGCATTATATGATTCAATAAAAAATGCAAATTACATTGTTTAATTCCACCCGAATTTATTGCACGCATTTATCATATGGTCTATCTATTTATCTCTCATTGCCTCTCAGAACAAACATTTATGCCTTTTCTTAAAAGTGTTGTTCGCGGCAAATTACTAACCCCCAATACCGCAGCTTCCAGCTTGACTTCACTGGGTGTTTGCTCGGTGATCAATTTCTCAAGAATACCGAAAAAACGTTTGACTTGAATGCCGAATTATATGCACTCCCTAAATTGGAGCTGAATGAATACGCCTACAATCCCCCAATTTCTCTCTTTCGGTACTTCCGCCCTCATAATCCATCACTTCTAATTCCAATTTGCACGGTCTTTCAGGCCTATAGAAGTCTCAACTAATTTGATCTCTTATCATGTTTAGCTACAAGCCCTTAGGTTATCACAAGATTGGCAAATTTGGAGATCGAGTCGAGCTCTACGGAATAAGTCGTGATGACATAACTGGGGCTTCTGAGCCCCTTGCTAACCCGAGTTGTATCGAACGTTGCCGCCCACAGCTGAAGACGTATATTGAACAGGCCAACGAAATTGTAAATATTATTCTCGGGCATTTGGAAAAACATCTGAAGCTTCCACTGGGTACTTTCGCAGAATTGCAACCAATGATGCAGCCAAGCGGCAGTGTTTTGCGGATGTTGAAGTATGAGCCTCAGGTGAGCTTGAAGTCTCCCGTGTCTCCCATTATTCCATATGTGTCATCGAAAGGTTGCATCTCGAAATTATGCTAATTATTGATAGCCAGCCGATGATCGCCGTACTGCCATGATGGGGCACACCGATATCACTGCACTAACCCTTCTTTTTAGTACAACTGGCGGTCTCCAAATTCTTAACGATGACGCAGGTACGTAAATCCAGTTCATAGTTTGAAGTGTCGTCTTGATAATTAATTTTCTTTAATCATTCAGATCGTCGCCTCGAGTGTTCTTGGACTCATATTAAACCACAGCCATCTACCTGCATCGTGAACCTTGGGGACGCAATGGTTGAATGGACTGGTGGGATCCTTCGCTCGGCTATGCATCGTGTCACCTCTAGGCTGCGCAACGGGTACCCACAAGGCGGATAATGGCCTTGATAGATAATCCGCGAATAATTTGTTTGCGGAGTGGATAATTCAGAATTTAAATGGGTAATTTGTAAAGTAGGTATAAATTACTTATGGATATTTATTTATTTGTATATTATATAATTATTTATAATCTTTTATAATATTAGTATAATTTTATAATTAATATAAAAATTAGTATAAATCTAAGCTTGAATTACTTTTGGGTTGGAAAATAATCTGGGAATAGCTTTATATTTTAAACAAAAAAAGCAGAGATTCTCTACTTTTTTTTAGAGAATTTATATATTTATGGATTATTTATAGATAATTTATAAATTATTTGTAGATAAATTATATATTTGTGGATAATTCATTTATTCATAAATAAATAGATTATTTATACAAAACAAATAATTTTAAAGCTTCGATAGATAATCCGTGGAACGAATTATTCGCAGATAATCCATGGGTACAGATAATTTGTGCGCAGCCTAGTCACCTCTCCCCCCGGCGATCAGTCATCCATGACCCGCTATGTAGTTGGTTACTTTGCTCGCCCTGCTGGCGATTCCCTCATGAAACGACTAGCATCTCCCGAGTATCCTTTTTCCCTCATACCACCAGGCGAGGAAAGAGAGAACTCTGAAAATGATATGAACGCGAGAGATTGGGAGTGGCATAAACTTTCTTCAATTAAGGCAGGCGATATAGGGAGAAGCTTAGGCGGTAAACCATTTGAGCCTAAGAGAAATGTGAATGAGTTGTTCCCGGCTATTATTGATGCGGTTTGAAGTATTGGTTCCTGTTTTTGAGATATGAGGGTTTTATATTGTGCCCGATTTTGAAATCGTAAATGCGCACAGAGTTTGATCTCATCTTTTACTTGTCTTCATCTAAACTTTACCGCTCAGCAGAAGAAAAGTTTGTGTACGAATCTTTGGTTTCTGGCATCATGAAAAGTAGTTGAAGTAATACCTATTATTGCTGGCATGAGTACTCTTTCCAACTTAATCCTACGTGAAAAATGGAGAAACCGTATTGGAGAAATCAGTGAGCGAAACTGCTCTTTTGGCAGAGTCCAATGCTCCAAAAAATGTTGGATCCATGGCCTTCTAAGTCTTAATGGCGCATTTGTGATTGATTTGACCAAATTTAGACGCTCAAAACTTCCAGATCAAAAAGTGCACATTCAGCCCATAAAAAATCTCCTTACCTCACAACAACCATACTAATATAGTAAAGATCGTGCGTTCTCCTCTGCTCAGCCCATCTGCCCAGCAAGCTGTCTCTCTTCGCTTTCCGAAGCCATTCAGGTTTCCTATCTCTTCTCTTCTCTTCATCAAGATTCTCTTCATTGTGCCCAGGAGATTTTGGCATTTCTTTGGCATCAGTCATCCAACGACTAGAATTAGCATCAGAATCGGGTTCTCATACCCTGTCCAGCTTTAGTTCCTCGAGCGTTTAGAGTATTGCCTATTCTATCAAGCAAAACAGTATATTAAATCAACAGATGAGTACTCCGGGTTGAACCTCGGATATTACTTCATCATTCCATAAGTCGGGTACTCTATTTTCGGGCTACAGAAGAACTTGGTTATACCGGACTGAAATTTTCGACCAATAAAATCCAATATAAAGAAGATTCCGATATAAAAAATAATGGCCCAAGCTTTCTAACCAAAATTTATATCCGATTTCAGCTCTAAACCTCAATATTTTCGAGAAAATATTATATGATAATAGCCTTTCAAGCTTACTTATTCAAAATATAGCTTATTTAATCAAATTGACTATTAAATTTTATATCGGAATTTAGTCAATTTAGTCCGGTATATTAGTTTTCATCGAAATTCCAGTATTCCCATATAAATTTAGGAAAAAATGGAAAAAAAAGTCCGGTATATTTAAGTTTCCGGTATATCCCGGTCCGGTATAGTCAAGTTTTTCTGTACTCCTGTTTTGAGTTACTCTTTATTATCAAAAATCTCAAAAATAGAATTTTTTAACTTTTTTATTTATGAATAGAATTTATTGAAAATTTGTATTTATATAATTCAGATTGTTTTGAATTTAATCTGAAAATTTTAGATTTTTAGAATTTTTTTATATTGAAATCTAAAACTTTAAAATATCGATTTTTTAATTTATATAAGAATCATATACAAATTTAGAATTTTTATAAAATCTTTAATAACTTTTTAACAACAATTATTAAAAGAAAACTATATATCTTTTTGAAAGTTTTGAGTTTAAATTTATATAGAAATTAAAAAAAAATTTAAAAAATTAACAAATATAAAGATATAATATATAATAAGTTTAAAAGTTTAAAGTAATATAAATAATCCTTACAATTTTAAGGGTATTCTTTTAAATATTTATTTATGGGAAATTTTCTTTTTTTTCTGAATCCTTCAAAATAAATATATTATAAATTTATAATAAAATTTTAGAATTTATTTTTGATAAATTTTATTAAAAAGTTATTAAAGATTTTATAAAAGTTTTAAATTTGTATATAATTCTTATATAAATTTAAAAATCGATATTTTGAAGCTCTAGATCTTAATACAAAAAATCATAAAAATCTAAAATTTTCAGATTAGATTTAAAACGATCTAAATTATATATATACAAATTTTCAATAAATTCTATTTATAAATAATAAAAATTTTATTTTTATTTTTAATATAAAAAGTAATTTAAAAAAAAAGTAACTTGAAAATAAAATAACGTAACGTATGGGGAACTCGGACACTTTTAGCCCATCACCAACTTGAAACCGCAATAACTTTTATTATGCATACCCAATCACCTTCTACATCTGCTCAAATTGAAGAGAAGCTTCAAAAGGCTATAATTTCACTTCAATTGAAAGAATTTAAATCAATTAGAAAGGCTGCAGAGCATTTTGAAGTCCCTAAGTCTACCCTAGCTGATAGGCTGGCTGGGAAGAAAACACGTTCCCAAACCCACGAAATGGCTCAAATTCTTTCAAACGCAGAAGAAAATACTCTTGTACGATGGATTTCACGACTTACCATCACTGGATTCCCTGCTACACCTATGTTGGTGAAGGAAATGGCCGACGAAATTCGTCTTCGACGCGTTCGGGTCGCGTCATCTCGAAATCCTACCTCGATAGAAATTCCACTTATAGGCTACGAATGGATCTATAGATTCCAAAAACGACATCCAGAACTTAAAACATGCTATTCACGTCAATTAGAGTCTAATCGGGCTAAAGAAGCAACTCCGGAGAATATTCAGGCTTGGTTTGACGCGTTTCGCACGCGTCTCATTGAGCGAAAGTATGAATTAGATGATATGTATAATATGGATGAAACCGGATTTGGAGTTGGAAGTACTCAAAGTACGCGCATTATAGTCGATTCTACTCAGAAATCGAATTGGAAAGTTACAGCTGGCAAGCAAGAATGGATAACTGCATTTGAATGTGTCAATGCAGCTGGAAATGCTCTATCACCTATGGTCATTTTCAAGGCTCAGAATACGAATTCTGCATGGATTCCAAAGGACACACCTCAAAGCTGGCAGTTCTCTACTAGTACAAATGGATGGACCTCAAATAGCCATGGATTAGAATGGTTAAAAAGGGTTTTCGAACCAGAATCCAAGAAAGTGTCAGGTGACCGACCTCGACTTTTGATCATGGATGGCCATTCAAGCCATATTACAGGTAGCTTTATTGCTTTCTGTATAGATAATGATATTGATTTACTTATATTACCTCCTCATTGCTCTCACTTGCTTCAGCCACTTGATATTGCGGTGTATGGGCCAATGAAACGATATCATGCTTTAGAGGTCGATCGATATTCTCGAGCTGGTGTAAAGCGAATCCAAAGAGCTGAATGGGTAGAACTCTTTCAAAATATTAGAAAAAAAGCATTGAATTCTTCTAATATTAAAGCTGGCTGGAGAGGAGCTGGTTTAGTACCTTTTGCCCCACGAAAAGTACTCGATTCATTACCATTTAACTCCTCCCAGCAACCTTCTACTCCACAAATGAGAACCCCCAATCAAGACCTAGACTTGTCTATACTCAGGAGTTCTCCTCCAGATGGAACAGAACTAAGGCAAGCAAATCAGATCTTTAATACAGCTCTAGCAAGCAGTGGTTCTCCTGCATCGCTAACTCGTCGATATGCCAAGAGAATGACTAGGCTTGTAGAATCTCAAAATGCTGAGATAGCCCTACTTCGGAAACAGCTCTCTGATGCTCAGGAGGTAATTGAGACTCGAAAGAAAAGAACTAAAGGCAAAAGAGTCAAATTACAAGGTCAATTTGTCTTTAGTACTAAGGAAGTATTGAAAATGGTACGTGAGGCGGAGGAAAAACCGAAGGAGAAAAAGCCACGAGGACGGCCACGCAAACGCCCAATTGAAGAATCAGAAGAAGAGATTGAAGAAGAAGAGCTAGAGAATAGTTCAAGTGATTCGGAATTGGAATTGGAGGATTGTGTGGCTCGTAGAACAAGATCGCGTGTAGAATAATTGAAAAAGTGTCCGAGTTCCCCATATGTCCGAGTTCCCCATACGTTACGTTACCTGACTTATAATTTTAGAAATATACTTTTTATTATTAATTCCACATTTTGAATAATTTGTAAAACACTTTTATATTAAATTCTTTAAAAATAATTGAAAATATACTATTGAATTAAATCCGATTTCTATTGAACATTTTATACTGTCCAATTGGTCTCAGATGCGATGGGGAGCCACAGATGAACGTCGATGTCCATAAGTTGTTTTAACTAGCCCGTAATTTTTACAGTGCTATTATACTAATGTCTTTAGGCTGCCAACTAACGCAGACCACACAAGTATGTGTGGATCCTTACATCCGTTTGTCATCTAGGATTGATTTAATGCCAAATCAATATCCTCGAATCAGGAAAGAATAATCAATAGCCCAGATCACAAAGATCTACAAATCTGAAGGTGGGAAAAAACTTCTAGACAAGTATTGCAAAGGAAAATCACTCAGGAATTCTCTGCGCTTATCTAAGTGCAACTTTGGACATCTCAGAGCACTCATTAACTTATGGAAATACTTCACCGATGCTAAACGTTGTGTCGGAATTTGCGAACAGGAGATGTGATCAAAGGGAGTACGCTTCAGCTTCTGGAAATGAACTCAAGTCGAATATTCGTTTCTTCTGCCCATGAGAGACAATTCTCCTTTCTGGGCCTGCAGATCCGGTACCATAGTTATGATTTGATGCTTATACGCTTCTACCACTGGTCAAATCTTGACAAAATATTGGAAAGAACAGAGACTACTCACTGTTGAGAATGTCAAGCAAATCTAAACATATAAGAGCGAGCAAACCAGGGGGAAAAATTTGCCCAAACCCCCAAGTGTCCTCATCTCCGATTATCAAGCTTCGATTAGAAAATTTTGTGTCAATAACGTCGAAAGTATTCCATGCTGCTAGTCCAATATATCCAATAACTACCAGTACCGAACCGTTGTCTCCCCATGCCCATAGTGCCAGAATCCGCCAAATTACATGCCAAACCATATAGCTTATGGTTTCTACAACTTGTAATAAGATACGCAAGAGAATTGGCCAACGACAGGTACGAAATTTCAGCGCCGACCAAAAATGTAAAGCGCGTTGCTGAGCTCCGTTTGATACATCGTTCGAGGTTTCTGCGATGAAGTTTACTAAGCATTTCAACCATCTCCATTTGTGAGACAACGACTGTACAAGCTGTTGCATGGAATAAGATAACATGTACACAACTTCGAAAGAAATTCCCACAATCCAGAAATATTGCGCATTGGTTGGTGATGGTTCGTGGGAAAGATAACATTGACCACTCTCTTCAGAGTCCCAGTGGTTTTCAGCCTCCATTGTGGTAACAATCTGGTAGTAAATTGAGAGCAGATCACTGATGAGTATGAAAATCCAACGCGTCCAAAAATAAAAGCTCCTGTCGTAACCATAGTGCTCCGAATTGAGATATTCAGCTCGAGCAGCCCAAAACGAATTTAGTGTAAGCAGCCAATAGCTAATAATGAGAGATTGATGATAGAATGACATGTGATGAAATTCAGCTATACCTGCAATGATAATGGCAGTTCCTGTAACAAGCTGAAGATCACACAGCCGATCTAAAGCCATTTGAGAGAATAACTGAAGTCGCGGTTGGGAATTGCGAAAAAGACTCAGAAACATTGCTAACGAACATCGGATGACATAAAGGCCGAGATGAACGCCTTTAATCACGAGTCTTGGGATGTTTCGTTCGATAGATGATGGGATGGAAATTCTCGTTAGCATGACCGTGTATTTGCCAATATGTTCAGCTGTGGTTCCCGACACAGAAGAAAGAAGTTTGAGACGGAACCGAGATGATACGACACAATATAATTGGATACATGCCACAAAACATGTGACCCACGCTGTAACCAGGAAACTTGTCATAACCTTGGGAATCCGTTAGAAAGCAAGAATGACGTGAAAGTTCATTGAGCTACTTACCCCAGGACCTGCTATGTCCGGATCCGCATCGAAAGAGGCGACACATTCCCATTGATCACGAAGTCTGCTCGCCATGATGCTTTAGATTGAGAAAGACACGGAAGTGAGTCTTGAGTGTTGTTTCGAATGAACCATTGACGCTAGTGGGTTAATAACAACACCCATTGGAATGTACCAAGCCACACCACGGAACGAGATGAAAGAGATAAGATCTTACCTTTATGAAAGAGCTCTACCATGCATCGCTGAAGTATCTTTTAAGAAAATCAAACTTTCGTATTTGATGGCTTTTGCATTTTGAACCAGAAATTCAACACTGGAGACGATTCAAATGATTTGTAGAGAAGACCGAAAGTGCGAGTAAGATTGCGCCGCCTGGAGTTGAGATATGAGCCGACATACATATACCGACATGAAACGGCGGGAACCATCGGCAAAGATCGAGATCCATTCCGTAGCAGAAAGTTCCATCTCTGAATTGTTGATTAGATATTGTGTCAAGGCTATTAAGCTCGACACTAACACACAAGATTCGTTCCGAGTGGATTGTGCGTGGGTTCAATACGCGAAGGGGTTCAACGGTATCAACAATTGGCAGTATTGTAGATTGAAAGATGCTTCGACAGCCAGATATATGCTACTCTTGAAACATGCTCCTGATGTGGAAGAAGCAGCGATGAAGAACAGGGATGGTTGGATCTACGACCTTATAGAAACATTTATCTGTGAACTGACTAATAACATTAAAAATAAAAGAAATGAACTAGTTATTGAAGAAGTGCCCATTGACGGTACCCAGAAAGAAATCTGACAACATAATGTGGTGGAGCCGTATGCCACAAATTATTCTCAAGTCCAAGTTCAAATTAGCTGTCGTATGTACTCTTTATAATCGTTCATCAAGACATTTCTCATACCAAAAACCCTCCAGAAGGGATATCAGCTATTTTACTCTTAGACTTTCTCGGTGATTCCCGCATTTCAGCGATGCTCTTTCACCAATTTTTCTCTTTGCAAGTCTTCCAATTCTTTAATTTATCGTTCTTTAAGCTCCTGACAAAATACACTCCCAACCCTGATACGACCACCCTTCCACGTAAATAATATCGGAATACTGCACATTTATAAGCTCAAGAATGCAAGCAGGCTACTTGCCCATGGCACACCCAGTTTTGTATACATGGGTTTCGTTACAAACGGCGACACCGCCCCAGCTAAGCTTCTACAGCAGCTCGATGCAGCCATGGCGCTCGCGGCGAAGACCTCATAAGCATCTGTCAAGTAATTGAGTAGGGCAATGAAGATTAATATAAAACCCATTCCAAATGGTATGCCGGCCAACATCGGAATGTAGAAAGGAATAGAGGCGCGGGATCATCAGTGGGTGTACAGACTGACGGGACACCTCAAAAATGAACTTGTAGACATCTCGATATATCCAAATTTATAATTTAAAAATTGTTAAAATTGTTCATTCGAAATAAAACAATCAAAGGAAAAGGAATCTAATATCAAACAATTGAAAAATGAATTTGTCAAAAAATTTGAAAATTGAGAAGTGTCCCGTCAATCTATGCACCCACTAGTGGATGTCCAGTCTAACCAGAAAAGCGAGATTACGTAGAGTGCGCTCCCCCAAAATGGCAAGTGGAAGCCGCCGAGACTCTTCTTTTTCCGCCCAAATTTTGTTAGATGCTTGCGCAAAAATGTATCCCATAAGAGAGATACGATGATGTTTAGAGTTGCACCACCACCAATGGGGAGGAACATAAGCCCAGACACGCCAGACGATTGACCATAGATACCTTTGAATATAATCGGATAAGCTTCAAAGTACAAATAAAATATCCCATAAGCGAGGGCGAGGTAGGTGCAAGCGGCCAGGGCGATGAGCTCGAAGAAAAGCATGCGAATAGGTCGAGTGAGTGTCACAGTTACCATTTGTTTTAGGTCTTGCTTTTCCAATTCGATCAGCGCGATTATTTCGAAATCGCCCGTTTCTTTTCACAACCTTTGTGCGCGTTTGAGAAGTAGAATCGGACCGTAGGTTTCTGGAAGGAATACAAGGGGAGCACAAGATACACCAGCAACAATCAAGCCAATCCAGAAAGTCCAACGCCAGCCAAGGACAGGAGATATAAAGCCCGAGATTATTGGAGCCACTAGAGGACCTACACAAGTGCCCGCAGTGAAAACCGCCATGGCTCTCCCTCTTGTTACTGGATCCTTGTATATGTCTGCATAGATGCCTCCACTGACGGATATAGGACTACTTGCGTTGATACCTGCGAGAATTCGAAATGCTAAGAGCCCATCCCACGTTGGTGTTAAGGCACAACCTAATGTAAAGGCGGTTTAACAGAAGAAGGTTGCCAGCATGATCGTTCTTCGGTTCATATTGTTATGATAGTGGACAAAATACTAGAGGTCCAAGCACATACCCAAGGAGATACATCGATATTGGTAAGATTTCCGCATCCTCTGACGTTATGTGGAAATACGGAGCGATAGATGGGATCGCGTTGGAAGGCAGAGAAGAACCTATGGTACTGTTGATCACCACAAGCATTCCGACGAGAACAATGTAACATTTCCACCGCTATGATTTCAAATTAGACCCATCTTTCGTTACGATCAACTGAGTGCCCATCTAAACTTTCGCCAGGGAAAGAGATATGATGTACGGAAGACCAGTTGTATGGATTTTCTAGATCGTCTCCTCCCAATGTATTACGTTTTTCTGCGTGCCCAAGATCCTGGATGCAGATGAAATCGGAAGAGATACATGATTGTCACTCGCCTCGAGATCATATCGACTTTTCGTATCGTCGTGATCAGTTCCAGAGACCATTCGAGAAAGTCTACTTTGATGCCTTTCTAAACTCCCATTGGTATATCTGCAGCTTTACCCATTGAGTGCTGCACGTAACAAACGATGTAGAGCCTGATTCTAAATTACGCCCATCTATCACGTTGTCGCTGACTCCTGGTGAGGCGGTTGCATGTCCATGATCTGCGCTGGGCATGCTTATTTTGTCGCCTATCCTTACAAGCAATTGAATCTTCCTTGCTCCTCTTTCTGATGTCCTAGGTAATCTGTATGAAATTGAAACACATAGATGAATTCAAATTTTGAATGTCGGTGGGGCTAAAGTGAAATGGAATTACAATGAGATAGACTTTCATAGAAATATATACATTAAAAGAGATGAACTTAGCTTGTGACAAACTTAACTGAGATAAGACTTCATTGGGCATAAAAATTTCCATATGCCCATAATTACATGGTCCTTTTGGAAAAACGAAGGATCATGGCTAGTATGTAAACGGTGAATTCTACATCGTACTCCGTAGTGTGAAGCTCTCTCCACCGTCGAACTTCGGTGCGGGTCCACTGCATGCCATCAAGTCTGATTCATTGGTTGCAAGGAACCATGGTGCCGACTCAACCATAAGGATGGCTACATTTTCAGTAAAGTCATCGGCAGATATCCAAGGGAATTCGTCAAGTTGGTGCGTATGGTGTAAAAGCTCCAAGTCACATGCTTCGAAAATTCGGAACGAAGACCGAATAAGTGTGTATTCGTTGCCTTGGGAGATGAAACCAACCTCGGAATACGTTATCCAATTTAAATTGACGCACCAGGAAGGATCATTTGGTGGATAAAGGTGGCCCTGAGAGTTTAATAATGTGGAAGTTGGTCCCTGTCGGTAGATGTTGTCGGATGATGTACTGTACGATGTACTCAAGTAGATTGCAAATAGCATGACACATGCCGTTCAAGTCTCCCATGCTAATTGTTGTGAATGGGTCACCGCGAGGAATATGTCATGGAGCTTTTGATGGATCCTTTGGGTGTTCCTATGAAAATTATCTCGATACTCTATGTCTCCAGATTAATACTTCGACCAAATCTGGCATACAATTCCACCTTCAGTTGTGTCATCTCCTCCCTAATTGTACTAAGCTTTCCTTCCACCAATATTACTTCCTCCTCGATGTTCTCGGTCGATTTTGTAAGGAGTTCTTGTACTTCTGGCAGTGGTAAGGATATGAATGAATCTCCGATTTTGTAACTTCAACAGCCAGGTCAGTATGATTCGACGGATGGCTATTATATAATGAAGGAAGGCGATGGTAGATCATACGGTATCATCTCATCTTCGTCTGCCAATTCAAGCTCCCCCGAAACATCGTCGAGGTCCTCCTTTTCTTTCTGTATAACAAAAGGATTAGAACAGCATTCGTCGCAGATTAGAAATCGCAGTGTTTCGGTCGACTCGACTGTACTGACATGTTTCGACTTTAACTCATCTTCCAGCCCAATTTCTCGTTGATGTAAACGACTGAACCGATTGATTTTGTCTTGATCTTCTCTTCGTACTTCGACCTCATCTGCGCCAACTGCTGCTTCGTCTTCTTTGATAACTGAGCTGTGGAGTTAGAAAATGTCCTCATGGAAACAATCTATGAAATGGAAATATTACCATACGGCGTTGCATGATTGTGGTTGTAAAGTTGTGGAAAAGATTCAGAGAGATACCTGAGTCTGTGAATTATCGATAGGTAGAGGTACTAGGCATGTGCTAGGTAAACTTTCCTTCAGGCGTGGGTGGGGAAGGCCTTGCAGCCTCGAAAGCTTGAAAATGCGAACCTTAAACCTTAGGTGTCAATCCCCCACGGCTCAATTTTACACAAGAGGTTGATGTTACCATTTTCAACTACTATGCAATGTATCTATGCCACTCACTTCATTTTCCCGTCACATTTATTTCTCTCCTATATCATCTACTTATGTCACGTCAGAGTAAACGGTCCAGATTTTATGTAGATATATTAAATATCGCCCATGAAATATGGGCGGCGACAGGACATTCCAATAACAATAAAACATACCAAGTGGTATTGGAACATCCAATCTCCGTTACCCGACCATAAATCAACTAGACATCCCTCGATGATGATTGTCTTACATATAGTTTCTTGTTGTTACTTCATGCCTGTGCATCTGGGTTTCTATCATTGTTGCTTCAAATCTGGGAAAACTTTGCTTTGCTTTGATGTCGGCTGCTGTCTGTCTCTTTATCGTTCTTTTTCGCTTTTCGTGGCAGGAATTCAGTTTGAGGTACACCAATGTTCTGTCAAGTAATCTCTGGGTGATAGTTCTACCTAAGCAATAGGGGAGATTGAGCAACGATCCACCCCTGGGAAGGTGAGAAGAAACAACGAGTCTACAACGAGTCTTAAACAAGTCTCAACCACCATATCGCTCTGTCGACCAGCTCCACCTTAAACCTCCTTCAGTCTTTTAGGCAATTGTTACTTCATCAAGCGGTTGATGTAACGAGTGATATTTCTGACCATGGGTTTTTGCTTCATGTTAAAATGTTAAATCCTCAAACCACAATTCACCAGAATAATTGTCGGTATTTTCAGCAATACATTTCTCCAATAAAATATCTGATTCAAAAGTCAACAATTGGTAGTATTCAAGGATTATAATTATGCTCTTGTGTGCAGCTCTCAAAACATTGTCTCAGATTTGTTCGAATCAACCTTCTATTCTCGTCAAAGAAGCGTCTCAAGTTTAGGGAAGTAGCTGAACGTCACATCTGTCTTTGATAGGGAAGTTAGGGTTGGTTCAAAAGAAGTCAAAATACCATATTTCCCAAAATTAGATGATACGTTACTATTTTATTGGTATATGATATCTTTTACTCGCTGTTTTGCAACAGTCTTTTCCAAAGCCTAAAGTAACAACTGTCTGACGTAAAATCATCCAGCATTGAGATATACTTCTGCTTTTCTTTCTTAATCTTATTACTGGTTCTGAAATGACGAGATCGACATCTCAGTTGTTCCAACAGGTGCGCATCAGGCCAGAGGCTGGGAGTCATCAATTGGTTCAAGAGTGCAACTCCGAAGAAACTGTTCACGTGCAAGAGCAAGAAAAGTTCGAAGACAGCTTACTGCAGAGATGTCCTGCCTATCTTTGGCCGGGAAATTCTTACCAAAAAGCGTGTCCCCGGCCCATTCTAATCGAAAAGAAGCACCAAAAACAACTAGAAGACTTGCATGAGGCATTGACTATATCAATCACGGATATTGTCGAGAGATGGTGGACCGACCAAGATGCACGCTTTTCTGATCGTATGCCACTAGAACGAAAAGAGGAAAATCTTCTACGTGTGAGTTCAGCAGCTTTTTAATGCCAGCCAATTAAGATCCAGTTCTCCCTACTATTCTGATGGCTAACTGCTCTTCAATTAGTGGATGGAAGCTCAAATCATGGAAAACAAACTCCCGATGTACCGGGAGTGTCGGGGTTCGTGGCGACCAGACTTTCTTGTTGAAGACGTACTCGACAATAATGGCATGGCAGTGGAAAATTATCGCATCACTGAGATTAATGCGCGCTTCTCATTCAATGGTTTCATTCTGACAGCTATCGCATGTGAAGGCTTGCAAGACATGGGCATTGGAAAAAACGGATTAAGGTGTGCGACAGATCCAACAAAGGTAAGGACTTCTGAGATTTCGAAAAGACCAGATGACAAGTGAATCACTTTTTAACATTTAGCAGATACTTGATGGGATCACCAGTCTATTCCAGACGGGAGTTCCATTGCACCTTCTCAAGGGAAAAGAGGCAGGGATGGATATTAATATGCTCCTTCATGTTGTTCAACAGCGTTTCGGCTTCAAACCCAGGATCATCACTCCGGCACAGCTCAGACTTTTTCCTCTCGCTCATGGCAGTGGATACAAACTTTGCTGTCTGGTGGGAAAGAATGAAAAGTCTTCACCTTTGGCTTGGCGGACCGATGTAGGCGAAGTCGTGGAAGAAATTTACCAAGTCGGCCTTGAGTTACATCAATCAGAGCTACTACTCCTAGAGCCCGAGATGTTGCGTCAAATCAGTCTCCGTTGTTTCAATGATTTCAGATCAATCTTTCTGACACATGACAAGCGAATGCTCGGTATATTGAAGCAAGAGTTGACTTCGCTGGTTTCGCGGTGCGTAATCACTCGTACACAAGCACAGATTTTAGATCAAGGAATCGCGGATACATACCTTCCTGGATCAAAGGAATTGGAAAGACTCTTTTGCCTTGCACAGCAGTTTCCCGCTTTGCGAAATGAGTTTATTTTGAAGCCCATTCGTAGTGGCAAAGGAGCAGGAATTGTGTTCGGTGATGAGTTTACAGCTGAAGACTGGATCTCCGCCTTACAGCTTCAACGGAGTGCTCAAATAATTTCAGGAGTTACCTGTGTAGTGCAGCGCCGCATCACTCCCAGACTCTACAGTCTTGTTCTGAACTCTTCCGGTGTTCGTGTTCAATATCCCCTCATCGGAACATTTTTTGTCGTACACGGGAGATTGCTTGGCCTTGGCGGATGGCGTAGTAGTCCTGACAAGATCTGTGCAGTCAGTCATGGAGGAGCCTGGGTTTGCTCAGTCATTTCTCGGAATGAAATGTAGTACTTGTGTAGCCTATATCCTGATGTCTCTTTGATGTCTCTTTTGCTTGGATGATTAAATTCCAATTTCTCTTCGGGTCGTTTGAAATCCTGTTTACTTCGAGCTTGAACTTCATCCCAGCTCAACCAAAAATACTTCGTTAATCAATTGCAAACAGCAGAAATGATCTGAATCAATGTTCATCTAATCATGCCTGTGCTACTCAGAATAATGTGTGACTATTCAAGTTGTCACCTAGGGATAAATACTCCGGTCAATCAACAATGAAACATCCTTGAGTTCAAGCCAGCCGCAAATACTAAACGTTGTTGTCGATACACAAAAATACTCAAGAGGTTTAATATTTAAGACCACGTCGAAAATAGTCAAGCTAACCATATCACACGCTTTGAGGTCTCAAAAAAGAATTTTGATCTACATTACTGTCATTGTTCAAGTCACGGAGAGGCGCCGAGAAATCTGAGACCAAACTGATTGCCCATCAAGTAGCTCAATTGTTGCTTGGGTAATCCACTGGAGGTATATGCCCGGTATATTATTGTGCGACACTGGGAGATATATATAAAATGTACCTTTCTATGAAATGATGTCGCAGGCAAAGCTAAAGCATGCCACAGGCCCACAGCACACAGAGTATTACTGCAGTACAAAACCTGTACAAGCAAAGGCTGACAGCGTCAGCATCGGCTGTTGTTAACCCACCTTCATTCCCCACTATCTTGCATACATCCGTAAGAAAGTGTGATTTCGGAAACAAAAATTTGAGTTTCATTTGAGCATGTGATTTCGCATCAAGAAGAATTCTATAAGTAGCCCATTCGAAGTCTCCTCCATAAAAAGAAAGTATGTCAAATTGCAATCTCAATGTTTCATGATCGGGAGCAAATGAAATCAAGAGATTTGAATGTCTTCGAAATCTTTGCAGGCGCAATACGGTTATGAAGTCTTACGTTGACCAACGACCCTCAAGCTTCTGTTAGAATTTTTAAGATTATGTATTCCGCATTATAAATTTCTCCTCGATCTCTATATAGATTTTACATAAGATAATACTATCGTCAATGATCTGAATAACATAGTGAACTAATAGTACATTGAGAAAATTTTATTGATTCAATGATTCAAACGGCCTCGCATCCCATCGGACTCTCCGGAGATGACGATTGGGGTCTTTAACCTCATTTCGCGAATGCAACCATCGCCGGTTATCCATCATAATGATTGATCCCTTAGGAAGATACTGGGGGGTTAAGTTTATGGTCCATTCCTGGGCTCCTTTATCATACAAAACTGCTTTCAGTTCGTCCAATGCCTCAGCAGCCTCTGGAGTCAACGGAGTTGTGATATCTTCCCGGAAACGTAGTTGATTTTCACCACCTTCTTCATATCTCCTTTGCAGTAAATTTCCCACGATATACTGCTCATTGCTTTTTTTTTGGAATTCAGGAGGAACCGCGATCATATAGTTGGGGCTAGAAAGCCGTGTTCGTGTTTGAGGTGACAGCAAGGTGAGGAGTCGATCGACGCCCAATAACGATAATGTCCCACCCCCGCAGCGATCTGGTTGAAGGACTTGGAGTGCAAAATATCGAGGCGGATGACTCTCATAACTGCAATCCGTATGCCAGTCAAAGCAAGACATCGTCTCTGAGCGAGCTTGGTGTCCATGACTTTGAACACTGTCCGGAGAGGGCCTAACATCCCAAAACCACCCGCGCTCGGAGCTATGGGTTATTGGAAGGCCATGGTTGTAGTTCTTGCTGAGATTGCGAATTAGGTCTTGGAGGTAGGAGCTTTTCTCATCCTCGAATCGTAATTGCAATTGCAGTACCCCTCTTCTTTCTAGACTATCGTGTACGGCTCTCAAGTGAGAGGGTTGAAAAGCCGAGCCTAATTTGGGAACTTCAATTAAGGGGATGAGGCTGGAAACTTCATGATACCCTTTTCACAGTTAGTAATTTGAGATCAAAAGGTCGATCAAGAGGCATTGGACACGTCTTACTGATTGGTAAAGTTAGAGCAAGATGACTGGCTGTTGCTTGCGATGCTGCATGACCAGCACGAAGAAGTCGCTGCATAATGTCAGAATAACTAATATAGCATTAGAAAGTACGAACCAGTGAGGAAGCGACGGTATCGACAGTTTCCTTCATTTTTAAATAATCTTCACAAGGGGACGGACTCATTATTTAATTCCGGAATTCCAAGCTCAATGTTTTTCACCAATTACAAACTAATGAAACGTTTCACAACTAATGCTGAAGTGATTACTGCGTTGCCAAATTTGACTGTCGGATTTCATTTCGGGTTCACAGCTTGAAGATTCAATAGAGCCAGCCATTGGTAATGAGATCTTGTCACATGATTCACTCTATATGGTTATTGGAAATCCACTTTTTGGAAGAAATTGTATTGATGACAAAGACTTTTTCGTAATTTCGGTCGATCAACAAGGCGTTTGTATGGGTGTTCAGCCGTAGTCATCATGCATTACTAGATTGAGACTTGTACAGATGCACCCCGACTAAGTTTGTGTTGAACCAAGATGGTTTCAGGAAGCAAAGGGATTTTACATGAGTCAGGCAGGTTATAGTACATTCAAATTTGCGTAGTTAGACACATTGGCAAGCACAAATTTTGAGTGCTAGTTTTGAACTAATGAAAAGTAATGAGTACATACATCGTCAGTACTGCACCACTCAACACGTAACTCTTTGCATGATGTGTGTACCGAGTAATAAATTGTACTCACCTGAGATACACTCTGGCTCAATGTTGCATAGAAAATGTTTCAACCGCGACGATTCATTGAAACTATCCTCGAAAGTAATTTCTGTGGAATGTGATACCAGCCACAACATTCACTATCCACACGCGATGAAGATGACCCCGGTACTTGAGAGATGTGTAGATCTAATAGACGGAGTTGAGGTTTGGTTAAAACATCGATTCATGTCATTTCCATAGTATCTAATTGCCCATCCCGACTTCAAATCAACTTTGCGCTATGCATGATTATTCCGAGAAGTCTCTACCCATAGGTTATAAATGGCGTTCATCCAAATGGTTCACCCTCTCAACCATTGCAATTGCCTTATTTGCTGGTTTGTCTATTGGTACCCCTCTATTCACATTTAAGACCTAACCAATAAATGAACAGAAACTTTTCTATATGGATTTCTCGTCCCAATTCTGGGGTATATGCTTCAGAAGCGTCTCCATGTAGATCGATCTCAGATTCAGATATTCACCTCTGCCGTACTTGCTCTCCACGGTGCGCTGGCCATGCTGTCTAGTCCTATAATTGGGCATTTTGCCGATAAAAGCCCGAATCTTAAGTTCTGGCTGTTATGTTCTCTTCTATGGTGCATCATTGGCACTTGTATGGTAGCCATCACTCATTCAGTCGCTATTTTATTCTTAGGGCGTGCAATACAAGGAGTTGCTGGGTCCGCTGTATGGATCATTGGCTTTGCAACTGTTGCAAGCATATACGAAGAGAACGAGCGAGGTTTTGGATTGGGTGTGATGTCATCCTTTGCTAACATGGGGACAGTTATTGGACCTGCTGTATCTGGTTTGCTCTTAGAGCTTACAGGATATTGGGTGTCGTGGTCCGTTCCGCTCGTGATCTTAACAATTGATCTTTTAGCACGTGTGGTTATGATAGAGGCTGCAGATACAACTGCCCCTTTGACTCCGGATAGCAATCTAGAGACAACGAGTTTACTCTCCGAAAGAGGGAACGATCGCAATGTATCTGGTGGTTGGAGATTCTGGAGAATAATGCTAACTGACGGCCGTGTCGTTACTTGTTTATTTATGACGATTACGAGTACAGCTGTGAGCACAAGCTTTAACGCCACTCTGCCTCTGCAGGTTCATGAGATGTATGGATGGGGCCCTACTATCGTTGGACTCCTCTTTGTTGGTCTTGTAGTTCCTGGACTTCTCATCGGCCCAATAGCTGGCTGGACTCGTGACCGATTTGGAGCACGAATTCCTGCCGTTGTTTGTTCTATCGTCCAGTCAGTATTTTTGGGACTTTTAGGTATTTCTGGTAGTCAGGCTGGAGGTGGTGCGCTCTACATAGCGTCTATTATTATCATAGGTGGCCTGCGACCATTTGTGTCTGGTAATGCACCTGTTGAGTTAGTTGGTACGTCAGCTTATATTCCTATAATGTAACTGTCATGACTGTTATGATAACAAGAAGACATTTTAGCTGCTGGGAAAGCACTTCAAAAAGAGACTCCTCATGCTTTTGGGTCTCGAGGGTGTTTGTCGCGCGTGTTCTCCATGCTCTATGCTGGTGCATCTCTTGGAATGACGATGGGTCCTATTATTGGCGGTTCCTTCAAGGAGCTGGTCGGGTACCGATATATGAACTGCATTTGGAGTAAGATATCTACGCCCGCTTTATTAAGTCGCTAACGAACGACACTAGGCTTTTTGTATCTCATAATTGCCATTCTTGCTCTGTGCTTTCTTGGACACAAAGGTAAAGATGAGAGACTTAGCTCGGAGGAAAGGATCTAGCAAGAAGGTGTATATACCAGGATTAGACGAGGGGCCTCACGCTAAATGATGTAGACTCTAGAGTCTAGAAGCTATGCGAATATATGCTCGCTGGGTATTTGCTCGGAGGTAGCTAAAGCCGGATGTGAATTTAGAGTTAATGTAAATTTAGCTTTGGGGTAACTTAACCCCACCATGAATTGAGATATGAGCCAGCCAGGATTCAGCCCCACCCTCCCAATAATTTATTGCCGTCTATCAGATCCATTCTGTTGAACCACGTGTGTGCTCACCGCCAATCCAAGACGAAGAAACATTTTCTTTATTGGGAAGTATTGAAGAACATAATTGTTAGAACTGTAAAATGACCTTACCTCACCGTCTATGTCATCAACATCATCAACTGTTGCAGCCCAAGATAGTTATCGCGCAGACATACTTATCAGCAGAAAGCATACATGCAAGGAAGTGGAACAGATCATTCGAGCACGAATCAACCGGTAACGGCATCGATTTTGATTATATTTGCTCTATTGTGTTTTGAACCCCAATGTCTCACCAGCAATTCGCAACTTCGTAACCTTAGCCATTCAAACCCAACTCAATGCCAACGGTCCACAAATTTAATTACTTTTCCGGCAGTGATACTTCGCTCGAACCCATCCAAATTATCCAGGAACTCAATTCGTGCCAGCTGTTTATTTTCTGGTCCAATGAGGAAAAAGCTCTCTAATCGTTCTGTCAAAGAACAATTGGACAGAACATCATCTCTTGGGGATGATCGAAGTAAACGAATTTCCAGACTCGCTTGCGGTGTATCATCCAGTCGGTCTAAGATGATTTGCCATTGCAAGATACCATAGTCCTTTTTTCGCATAAAAGCTTCAATTCTATGAAACTCAAAATAAGAAGCATACCACTCAAAGCTGAACCGATGATCACGCCCTTGCATACGTACAATACGTAGAAATTTCCGGTCAAGCTCAGAAACTACGGTAGAGGCTGTATCCGGAAGTGGATGAATCGAGCCAATGTCGCCGGTGATATAGCGTATTAGTGGGTTGCGCAATCTTTGGAGCGAAGTTTGTACCATGAGACCTTTCTCAACCTCGGGAAGGCATTTGAAAATATCTGGAGCTGTACTATCACTGACGGAAAGAGGCAAGATCTCGATTAACATACTTCGCGTGTCATAGATAAAATCGGTAGCAATTTCTTTGACGTCTTGCTCTCCAGTCAGCTTTGGACTGCTGATTGCCCAGGGACCCGCTTCAGCACTACCCATCATTGAGAAAATCTCAACATCACCCAGTACAGACTTGATAAACACGCGTTGAGGACCGGTCAATGGCTCCGAGGTGTAGATGATCTTGTTCAGAACGATACGCCCCCGATCTTCTTTCGCCATCATGGAGATGTGTTGGACAGTTTGAACAATTTGGCTACCATCGCCAGTGAGAGCGTTGACATGGTAGTTGGCTAGAGATTGTGCAACTTCGGCAGTTGGCATGTAAGCACCGGCGCTAAGCACAGTCCCTCCTGCATTTTCGATCACTTCTGTTGTCAGATCTAGTGATCTTGTATTTGTCAGTTTCTCAGGGATAAGTAAGAAAAAAGCACTTTATTGATTAGAATGCAGTACCTATAAAAACCTCCAGCCAAGTGAGTAGACAGCACGAAGTCTTTCGGTTCAATGACACCACAGACTCTAAGCAAATCTCCCATCCGAGCCCGCTGTCGACGATTCTCATGCGCATCTACGGCGAACATCATGGGAATTGAGCCAGATCCACCGCCAGTAATACTCATGTATGAGCCATGACGATACGTATTTTTCGGATCCAGATCATGAGTGAGTCTTTTAATTGATTTGTATCTAATCCAAATTAGTTACCAAATGCAGTCAACTTTAACGCGGGTGAAAAAATTACACACAGTGTTTTTTTTATCAAGCAATGGCTGTTCTTGGAGATCTACTTTCTTCTCTTTACTGAAAGCGGACTCCTGAAGTTTAATGACTGTTTTTGAATCGGCTGGGTAGAAAATATCCTCATTGTAGAAAGGATGATTTTCCGCAACAGCCATTACTTCTGCCAATGTGTACGCTCCTGTATCCATGATCGCGAAAATCTTGAACTTCGAAAATTTCGAGACTTTACAATCAATTGTGCTAAAGTAAAAGCTACATAGCACGAAAATTGACGAGGTGCCTCACTTAAATATGAAGACAAGAATGTGCGAAATCAATTTGGGGAGGGGGGGGCGCTCACCCTGAAAGATATTGCCGGAACATTTAAGACTGCATCATACAAAAAGCAATAACTTAATGTTTTTTGCTATGTACAAAGATTCAAGACATGGCAGCCAGCTCTGTCTCGGCTAATGGTATTATTGATTGATCGAATCTCATGAGTACAACAGATCAAATTAAGCAATTGTACAATGTGCTATACTTCAGCTAATCGCAAGGTGGAAAGTATGATAATTGACAGAGTAAATCCACCGTGAAGGAAATTAGAGATCTTGACTGCACCTGGTAGAGATTATCGCACTAAGGCTGGCTCTGCTTTTTGCTGCCTCACCATTGACTCAATCACTGAGTATGCCTTCGTCGGGAGCAGGATGTTCACCGATAAGAGTGACGATAATTCTGAAACACCAATCCTGGAGGCGCCTCGGTGTTGCTGCTCTGGAACTGTGGGACTTGATTTACCAGCTCATCATGTGCAAAGTTGGGGACCGCACTCCGAAGGCTGTGGTCGCCACAATGAGTAAAGAGCTTGCAGCTCTAAGGTTATTTTGTGTGATACACGTGGCTGAGACAACGAGGTTTACAAGAAGGCTGAGAAACGCGAGCTACTACTTATATTTGACGACAAACAAGTTGTTGTAGAGGTGATGGACATTTTAATTGCCGGATCGGAGATTACCGCTTTCCACGTTGACTTCGGCATTTGGCACATCGCATGTAATCTCCGCGTGGGGTGGAGTTATGGAGGCTTTAGCGGAAGCCTTGTAAGATCCTGACACAATGTTAGGCTTGGCCTAGCTGGAATCGATCCCCTATCAATCGGCCTTCGTTCACGAGGCTCTTCGAGTGGCTATGCTAGTAACCAGTAGACTTCCGCGCATGGTACCAGGTGAAGGTCATAATGGGTCAGTCGTGGATGGCAAAGTCGTTTCCCCGGGCACTATGATCGGTATATCGGCCTACACTGACCTTATACAGAGGAGTGGGATTATTCGAACTCAGGGTGCAAGGTTAGTAATTAAAGAGGCCAGGGCAGCCCGAGCGGGGGCGGCCGCTAGTCCCATCTTAATGATCAACACATTCAAGGAACCCTAAGAAATTGTTCATGATATTGGACATGGTTATTCTCACGTTCTGGAAAATTGATCGGGTACTAACAAACCAAAGCTTCAGATAGTGATTTCAAAAGCTCCGCAGATTCATCTCCATTTTCCAGAGCAGAGCAGATCATTTAGAGGAAACGCATTCAAGGACGTCCTGAAGTCAATTCGTCCATGCTTTAACCTTACAAAGACGGGTTCTCTACTTTCAGTAATCTCATGCACTTCGCTCAACCTCGGCCTGCAAAATAATGTCCGCATTCCGGGTACAGATTATATATGTCGGGCCTCGAGTCGAAAGAATATAGTATGATTGAACTGCAATTATCTCGCTTCTAAATACTCTCTTGACTCAAAATCCTTGACTCATTGACTCTCTACATTCCGTCTCACGCATTCTATTGTGTTATTCCAAGCCAAACCACTTCTTCTCAGCATAGCAATGCGACTTCTATGGCGCGATCCATTCTGGAACGGCAAGAGGAAGCCGTTTGGCATAGGCATTCTTATGTCTGGGATTATGATTACCCTCCTCTTTTTCATAACGATGTCGTACATGTACGGCGTCCTTTTCAAAAGCGGATATCGGGCGCATAACTTGAATATTTTGGCTGTTGACTATGACGGAGGTATCATTGGTGAAGCATTATCAGTGGCATACGAACAGTTCCAGGGAGATGAATTTCCCAAGCTTCAATTCCATACCACTGCCAAATATCCCTCTATAATTGAGGTTCAAGAAGCTGTGTGTCGTGGTGATTATTGGGGAGCTATCGTTGCTCAACCGGGAGCATCAGATCGTTTGTCTCAGGCTCTGGGTGGTGGCTCTGCGGCGATTACTTACAACTCGAGTGATGCCTTGACCTACATTAACAATGGCGCTCGATATCCGGCTATACAGTTAGGCGATATCTCTGGAAATCTGGAAACTCTTATTGGTGCTGTATCTTCAGCTTACCATGGTCTTAACGGATCACAAGCTCTTTCGTCACTCAACGCAAGCAATGAAAACGCAGTTCTCGCCTTCTTGCACCCTTTAAAAGCATCTCACATCAACATCAAACCAACAGAACAAGGCACCCGTGTGTTGTTTAATACTGTAAGCGTTGTCTTACCTATTATTCAACAGTTTTTCTTCCTCATGGCATTGAATGGTATCAACAATCAGTTTGGTATTTATGGTCGTCTCAATTCTACACGAATAGGCTTGATGAGGTGTGTTATCTCGATTGTGTTCACGTTAATTGCCTCCCTTGCAACGACCGGTTATATTTGGGCTTTCCGAGAGTCTTGGGGTGTCAGTGGGAGTCAATTCGTACTGGTATGGATGTCATATTGGATTTATATGCATATCAATTTCCTTATTCTGGATGCAGCTACTGCTTTTATTCCTGTATCCTTCCTTACGTTTTTTGTCCTCCCGTGGGCGATAATAAATGTAGCGGCAACCATTTATCCATTCGAACTGAGTCCGGGCTTCTACCGCTGGGCCTATGCTCTCCCTGCTCATGAATTCTACTCATTGGTTATTCGAGTAGAGAGTGGGTGTGGAGATGTGTTGTATAGAGTGCTTCCCATACTCTTTTCCTGGGAGGTAGTAGGATTAACGTTAGCAATCTGGGGTTCATCTTACAGAAACCGAAACGCGGAAGCAGAGCTGGTTGCACTAGGCAAGGTACAGCAAGATGCAAGCAAAACTGATAAAAATACATCGCATGACGAAGAGCAAGAGCTAGTTATAATGAGACGACCATCGCGGGTTCAATAGTGTAATTACATGAATATTGTAGAGATTCATATTCTATATAGTTAATATCGGAACATGAAAAAAACCAAGAAGTGCTTTTTCGAGATAATTCTCTAATTTATATTCTATTCGAATTAGAGAATCATTTTATATTCTCTTTTATAATTATTAAGTCAGTATCTATAGTAACCGTATACAGCTAAGTTCAGTACCCCACTTTTCGGCCACCCCTCTTTTCGGCCACCTCATAA